CGGTGGCCAGGAGATGTTAACTCCCTCGCCTGGTATACAGGAGATCGTGGGTTCGATCCCGACTCTGACGCCTGCTGCTGTATATTTGGAGTCTGCGTGTCTCTCTCTCATCATCATCACGGTGGCTAGGAGATGTTAACTACCTCGCCTGGTCTACAGGAGGTCGTGGGTTCGATCCCGACTCTGACGCCTGCTGCTGTATTGCGTGTCTCATCATCACGGTTGCTAGGAGATGTTAACTACGTCGCCTGGTCTACAGGAGGTCGTGGGTTCGATCTCGACTCTGACGCCTGCTGCTGTATTGCGTGTCTCTCTCTCTCATCATCACGGTGGCTAGGAGATGTTAACTACCTCGCCTGGTCTACAGGAGGTCGTGGGTTCGATCCCGACTCTGACGCCTGCTGCTGTATTGCGTGTCTCTCTCTCTCATCATCACGGTGGCTAGGAGATGTTATCTCCCTCGCCTGGTCTACAGGAGGTCGTGGGTTCGATCCCGACTGACGCCTGCTGCTGTATTGCGTGTCTCTCTCTCTCATCATCACGGTGGCCAGGAGATGTTAACTCCCTCGCCTGGTATACAGGAGATCGTGGGTTCGATCCCGACTCTGACGCCTGCTGCTGTATATTTGGAGTCTGCGTGTCTCTCTCTCATCATCATCACGGTGGCTAGGAGATGTTAACTACCTCGCCTGGTCTACAGGAGGTCGTGGGTTCGATCCCGACTCTGACGCCTGCTGCTGTATTGCGTGTCTCATCATCACGGTTGCTAGGAGATGTTAACTACGTCGCCTGGTCTACAGGAGGTCGTGGGTTCGATCTCGACTCTGACGCCTGCTGCTGTATTGCGTGTCTGTCTCTCTCATCATCACGGTGGCTAGGAGATGTTAACTACCTCGCCTGGTCTACAGGAGGTCGTGGGTTCGATCCCGACTCTGACGCCTGCTGCTGTATTGCGTGTCTCTCTCTCTCATCATCACGGTGGCTAGGAGATGTTATCTCCCTCGCCTGGTCTACAGGAGGTCGTGGGTTCGATCCCGACTGACGCCTGCTGCTGTATTGCGTGTCTCTCTCTCTCATCATCACGGTGGCCAGGAGATGTTAACTCCCTCGCCTGGTATACAGGAGATCGTGGGTTCGATCCCGACTCTGACGCCTGCTGCTGTATATTTGGAGTCTGCGTGTCTCTCTCTCATCATCATCACGGTGGCTAGGAGATGTTAACTACCTCGCCTGGTCTACAGGAGGTCGTGGGTTCGATCCCGACTCTGACGCCTGCTGCTGTATTGCGTGTCTCATCATCACGGTTGCTAGGAGATGTTAACTACGTCGCCTGGTCTACAGGAGGTCGTGGGTTCGATCTCGACTCTGACGCCTGCTGCTGTATTGCGTGTCTCTCTCTCTCATCATCACGGTGGCTAGGAGATGTTAACTACCTCGCCTGGTCTACAGGAGGTCGTGGGTTCGATCCCGACTCTGACGCCTGCTGCTGTATTGCGTGTCTCTCTCTCTCATCATCACGGTGGCTAGGAGATGTTATCTCCCTCGCCTGGTCTACAGGAGGTCGTGGGTTCGATCCCGACTGACGCCTGCTGCTGTATTGCGTGTCTCTCTCTCATCATCACGGTGGCCAGGAGATGTTAACTCCCTCGCCTGGTATACAGGAGATCGTGGGTTCGATCCCGACTCTGACGCCTGCTGCTGTATATTTGGAGTCTGCGTGTCTCTCTCTCATCATCATCACGGTGGCTAGGAGATGTTAACTACCTCGCCTGGTCTACAGGAGGTCGTGGGTTCGATCCCGACTCTGACGCCTGCTGCTGTATTGCGTGTCTCATCATCACGGTTGCTAGGAGATGTTAACTACGTCGCCTGGTCTACAGGAGGTCGTGGGTTCGATCTCGACTCTGACGCCTGCTGCTGTATTGCGTGTCTCTCTCTCTCATCATCACGGTGGCTAGGAGATGTTAACTACCTCGCCTGGTCTACAGGAGGTCGTGGGTTCGATCCCGACTCTGACGCCTGCTGCTGTATTGCGTGTCTCTCTCTCTCATCATCACGGTGGCTAGGAGATGTTATCTCCCTCGCCTGGTCTACAGGAGGTCGTGGGTTCGATCCCGACTGACGCCTGCTGCTGTATTGCGTGTCTCTCTCTCTCATCATCACGGTGGCCAGGAGATGTTAACTCCCTCGCCTGGTATACAGGAGATCGTGGGTTCGATCCCGACTCTGACGCCTGCTGCTGTATATTTGGAGTCTGCGTGTCTCTCTCTCATCATCATCACGGTGGCTAGGAGATGTTAACTACCTCGCCTGGTCTACAGGAGGTCGTGGGTTCGATCCCGACTCTGACGCCTGCTGCTGTATTGCGTGTCTCATCATCACGGTTGCTAGGAGATGTTAACTACGTCGCCTGGTCTACAGGAGGTCGTGGGTTCGATCTCGACTCTGACGCCTGCTGCTGTATTGCGTGTCTCTCTCTCTCATCATCACGGTGGCTAGGAGATGTTAACTACCTCGCCTGGTCTACAGGAGGTCGTGGGTTCGATCCCGACTCTGACGCCTGCTGCTGTATTGCGTGTCTCTCTCTCTCATCATCACGGTGGCTAGGAGATGTTATCTCCCTCGCCTGGTCTACAGGAGGTCGTGGGTTCGATCCCGACTGACGCCTGCTGCTGTATTGCGTGTCTCTCTCTCTCATCATCACGGTGGCCAGGAGATGTTAACTCCCTCGCCTGGTATACAGGAGATCGTGGGTTCGATCCCGACTCTGACGCCTGCTGCTGTATATTTGGAGTCTGCGTGTCTCTCTCTCATCATCATCACGGTGGCTAGGAGATGTTAACTACCTCGCCTGGTCTACAGGAGGTCGTGGGTTCGATCCCGACTCTGACGCCTGCTGCTGTATTGCGTGTCTCATCATCACGGTTGCTAGGAGATGTTAACTACGTCGCCTGGTCTACAGGAGGTCGTGGGTTCGATCTCGACTCTGACGCCTGCTGCTGTATTGCGTGTCTCTCTCTCTCATCATCACGGTGGCTAGGAGATGTTAACTACCTCGCCTGGTCTACAGGAGGTCGTGGGTTCGATCCCGACTCTGACGCCTGCTGCTGTATTGCGTGTCTCTCTCTCTCATCATCACGGTGGCTAGGAGATGTTATCTCCCTCGCCTGGTCTACAGGAGGTCGTGGGTTCGATCCCGACTGACGCCTGCTGCTGTATTGCGTGTCTCTCTCTCTCATCATCACGGTGGCCAGGAGATGTTAACTCCCTCGCCTGGTATACAGGAGATCGTGGGTTCGATCCCGACTCTGACGCCTGCTGCTGTATATTTGGAGTCTGCGTGTCTCTCTCTCATCATCATCACGGTGGCTAGGAGATGTTAACTACCTCGCCTGGTCTACAGGAGGTCGTGGGTTCGATCCCGACTCTGACGCCTGCTGCTGTATTGCGTGTCTCATCATCACGGTTGCTAGGAGATGTTAACTACGTCGCCTGGTCTACAGGAGGTCGTGGGTTCGATCTCGACTCTGACGCCTGCTGCTGTATTGCGTGTCTCTCTCTCTCATCATCACGGTGGCTAGGAGATGTTAACTACCTCGCCTGGTCTACAGGAGGTCGTGGGTTCGATCCCGACTCTGACGCCTGCTGCTGTATTGCGTGTCTCTCTCTCTCATCATCACGGTGGCTAGGAGATGTTATCTCCCTCGCCTGGTCTACAGGAGGTCGTGGGTTCGATCCCGACTGACGCCTGCTGCTGTATTGCGTGTCTCTCTCTCTCATCATCACGGTGGCCAGGAGATGTTAACTCCCTCGCCTGGTATACAGGAGATCGTGGGTTCGATCCCGACTCTGACGCCTGCTGCTGTATATTTGGAGTTTGCGTGTCTCTCATCATCATCACGGTGGCTAGGAGATGTTAACTCCCTCGCCTAGTCTACAGGAGGTCGTGGGTTCGATCCCGACTCTGACGCCTGCTGCTGTATATTTGGAGTCTGCGTGTCTCTCTCTCTATCTCATCATCACGGTGGCTAGGAGATGTTAACTATGTCGCCTGGTCTACAGGAGGTCGTGGGTTCGATCCCGACTCTGACGCCTGCTGCTGTATTGCGTGTCTCTCTCATCATCACGGTTGCTAGGAGATGTTAACTACGTCGCCTGGTCTACAGGAGGTCGTGGGTTCGATCCCGACTCTGACGCCTGCTGCTGTATATTTGGAGTTTGCGTGTCTCTCTCTCATCATCATCACGGTGGCTAGGAGATGTTAACTCCCTCGCCTGGTATACAGGAGATCGTGGGTTCGATCCCGACTCTGACGCCTGCTGCTGCTGTACATTTGGAGTTTTGCGGTGTCGCTCTCTCCCCGTGGTCGCGTGGATTTTTCTCCGGGTCCTCCGGTTTTTCCCTCCACATTTAGGATCAAAATCACGCATTCAGAGTATTTGGCTGCTATAAATTTCCACACGATGATAAGCCACTTTGTTGAGATGTCATTTGTGATGGCCATATCGCTTCTGAAAAAAAAATCTACGTAGCTCCAGTGGGTCTTTTCTAGTAAAATAAAAAATTGTTTAAAATAATTTTAATTAAAAAAATGTGAGTTCAAAAGCATGGTTGGCTACGCACGGTACGAAAGAGGTTCAATGTACGTACAAGTGCAGGGGGCTTGCGGCTGAGTGGGTGGGGCCATGAAAAAATGGGTTGTGCTAGTTGCTGATTGGGTGGGGCTCTACAAAATGGGCGTGGCCAACAGAGGGAAGAGGGCGGGGCTACCAGCTCCCCCCACTCCCCCCGCCCCACCACGGGTGAGCTTCCTAGAGATTTGGTAGCTTCAGATTTCTGGGGGTGTCTCCATTGCCCCGATCGGCCCCAAGCGACCTCTCTCTTGTGTGAGTGACCGTTGACAACCTAAGCCCATGCGTGTACCCCTCCCACCCTCTGCCCCCCTCCCTCCGCCCCCCCTCCCCCCCTCCCTCCGCCCATTGACCCCGATATTCCCCCAGGGTCTCTAAGGAGGAGTTTGAACGCGGATCAGATCCAGGAGGAGCTGCAGAGTCTGGGTGAGGGCAATCGTCGGGCGGGGCTCTCCTATCGGTGGCTAACGCTGCTGCACGCGGTTGCCTGTAGTCCATCACTGTGGTGGTAGCAGTAGAGCGAGGCGGAGGTGACTGACCACCGGCGAGTGAGCGAGGGGAGTGGCGGGAGTGGTTCTGTGAGTGCTGGATCACCGGCTGACCCCCCGTGCGCGTGTTTGCATCTGTGCCCTGGCAGGTCTGTCGAAGGAGAAGTCTCGCTGCTTCCTCGCCCAGGTTCGTCTGGCGGTGCAGCAAGTGGGGCTCATCCCTGAAGCCGACAGGGCAGAGATGTTGATGACGACGACGACGATGACGACGGCGGCACTGCATAACGATGCTTCGTGGTCTGATAATTACCACGTGATAGCGGTGGTTACGTGTGCGTGTGTGTTGAACTTCTTTTCCACTGCACGTAGCCAACCATGCCAACCATGCCAACCATGCCAACCATGCCAACCATGCCAACCATGCCAACCATGCCAACCATGCTAATCGGGAGTTGCCGGGGAAGGACAACAAACTAAACACAAAAGCAGTTCTAAAGAAATGAGTTTGTCAATCTAAATGATGATTTAAAAGTGCACGGCTCCAGTGGCTTCCTATTATCGGAAGGAAGAGACCCATAGAGACCCACATAGAGACCCACATAGAGACCCACATAGAGACCCACATAGAGACCCACCAGTAGAGACCCACGTAGAGACCCACGTAGAGACCCACGTAGAGACCCACGTAGAGACCCACGTAGAGACCCACGTAGAGACCCACGTAGAGACCCACGTAGAGACCCACGTAGAGACCCACGTAGAGACCCACGTAGAGACCCACGTAGAGACCCACGTAGAGACCCACGTAGAGACCCACGTAGAGACCCACGTAGAGACCCACGTAGAGACCCCGTAGACCCACGTAGAGACCCACGTAGAGACCCACGTAGAGACCCACGTAGAGACCCACGTAGAGACCCACGTAGAGACCCACGTAGAGACCCACGTAGAGACCCACGTAGAGACCCACGTAGAGACCCACGTAGAGACCCACGTAGAGACCCACGTAGAGGACCCACGTAGACCCACGTAGAGACCCACGTAGAGACCCACGTAGAGACCCACGTAGAGACCCACGTAGAGACTCACGTAGAGACCCACGTAGAGACCCACGTAGAGACCCACGTAGAGACCCACGTAGAGACCCACGTAGAGACCCACGTAGAGACCCACGTAGAGACCCACATAGAGACCCACATAGACCCACATAGAGACCCACATAGATCCAGAGACTAATGTAGAACTACAGAGACCCACAGAACCCCACAGAGACCCACCGAGACCCACACTCATATTTATGGATGTTGAACTTATTTCGAACAGTGCGTAGCCAACCGTGCTAATTGGGAAGTGCCGGGGGAAGGACGGCAAACTAAACACAAGAAGCAGTTGTAAAGAAATTAGTCAATCTAGATGACGACGATTTAAAAGTGCATAGCTATAGAGGCTTCCTATTATCGGGAGGAAGAGCGTTCCAGACGGCCGCAGAAGCAACCTCTTTGTTCGATGTGTGACGATGGTTGACGATGCATGACGGCGATTTGCGATGTTTCTCGATCCGATAACGGTGACGTGATCGCGACGTTCGCCAGAGGTCGCAAACGGGTTTTGATTCCTTACCCGTACCCGTACCCGGCCGCACCAGGGTCGCAAACGGCTACCTGTACCCGTACCCGGCCGGGTACGGGTAGCCGTTCCCTACCGGTACCCGTACCCTACCCGAAATGAGTGACAAACGGTTACTCACCAGTGACTCACGGCCTACCCATACCTGGCCGCACCAGGGTCGCAAACGGCTACCCGTACCCGTACCTGGCCGGGTACGGGTAGCCGGGTATCGGGTAGGGTACGGGTATCGGGTACCCGGTTGCGACCTCTGACGTTCGCCGCGATGTGACGACGTTTCCTACTCTGACGACGTTACGCGACTTGTGTGCGTGCGGGGGGGGGAGCGGCGGCGCAGCGGTTAGCGCGATTGGCTACAAATTCCGGCCTACCCGAGTTCAATTCCCGCTGACGGCCAACACCAGCGACGATTATCTGACTCAACAGAGTCGTGTGTGCACATCACCACTGGGGAGACAAAGGCGGCTGGGCTTGATGCTGCCCACCCCCACCCCCCATTGTGCGCTGTGCCGTCCTTTATAGGTGCTCGCTAACAGCACTTGCCCCAAAAGTCTGTTAAGGCTACACGGGGGGTCTTTGTCTTTTTATGGGGGAGCGGCGACGCAGCGGTTAGCGCGACGCACGAACTCGGCGACCCGGGAGCGATTCCCGCTCGCAATCGTCGGCCTCCAGTAGGCCTCAACGTGAGTACCCGGTGCGGTGTGCAGTGAGCATCGCCACTGGGGAGACAAAGGCGGTGCTGGCCACCCACCACCCTCGCGACGCGCCTTCGTGTAGATGCAGCTACTCGCCAACGGCACTTGCCCCGACCGCCTTGTTAGAGGCTACCCGGGGGATCTTTGTCTTCGCAGTGGGAGGAGAGGAGGCCGCTGTTGGCGCGGGCGGCGCTGGGCCGCGCTCTCTCCATCAACCAGCTCGTCGACCTGGAGTGGAAGTTCGGAGGTCAGGGTTCAACATCGATTACCTCTTTTCGTTTTTGTAGTTTTTTTTTAATTAAACGTGAGATTTGTGTGGTGCGAGAGTGTGGTGTGCGAGCGTGTGGTGTGTGTGTGAGACTGCTGTGCGAGTGTGTGAGCGAGAGTGTGGTGTGCGAGTGTGCGAGAGTTTCTGAGTGAGTGTGCGGTGTGTGGAGGTGGGGAGTGGTGGTGTAGCGGTCAGCGCGCTGCGCTACGAACCCGGCGACCCGAGTTTGATTCCCGCTCATGTCCACCAACACCGGTGACGATTATCTGAACCAGTCCTCTGGACCTCCCCTAGGTCGACTCAACCTCAAATGAGCACCTGGTGCTGTGTGTAAAAAAACATCACCACTGGGGAGACAAAGGTGGCCGGGCGTGGTGCTGGCCACCCACCCCCTCGTGTGCCACGCCGGCCTTCATAGGTGCGACCGCTCACGAACAGCACTTGCCCCAACAGTCTGTTAAGGCTACACGAGGGAATCTTTGTCTTTTTTCTTTGATCCCAATAGAGTAATTTTTTTCTAATTCTGCAAATTTGGGTCGTGCCGCCGGCAACACGGTGTGCCCAACTCTTGCGCACGACTCCTCGGGGCTCCTAGCGCCGCTGCGAGTGAAGCGGGCGTCTCCGATGAGAGCGGTGGGCTACGAGCGGTGTGAAGGAAAGTTGATTTGGCTGCGAGCCGTTGAACAAAGACGGTCATCGTAATCGCGTGGCGGCCGTCTGGAACGCTCTTCTCATACTGGGAAGGCAGTGGAGCTGTGCGCTTTTAAATCATCATCTAGACTGATAAACTAATTTCTTTGAAACTGAGTTTACATTGTTATCCTTCCACCGCACCTCCAATTCGCATGGTTGGTGACGTACTGCGCGAAAGAAGTTCAACATAGATACACATACAAAATACATACGTACGTAAAGCCGGCACGTGGTATTATTACGGTTAATACGCACACAGCCATATTGACCAGGGCGGCCACTGAACAGGGGGAGATCACACAAACTCCACTCACTCTGTAGACCAGGGGGAGATCACACAAACTCCACTCACTCTGTAGAACAGTGGGAGATCACACAAACTCCACTCACTCTGTAGAACAGTGGGAGATCACACAAAATCCACTCACTCTGTAGAACAGGGGGAGATCACACAAACTCCACTCTGTAGAACAGGGGGAGATCACACAAACTCCACTCACTCTGTAGAACAGTGGGAGATCACACAAAATCCACTCACTCTGTAGAACAGGGGGAGATCACACAAACTCCACTCTGTAGAACAGGGGGAGATCACACAAACTCCACTCACTCTGTAGAACAGTGGGAGATCACACAAACTCCACTCACTCTGTAGACCAGGGGGAGATAACACAAACTCCACTCTGTAGAACAGGGGGAGATCACACAAAATCCACTCACTCTGTAGAACAGGGGGAGATCACACAAACTCCACTCACTCTGTAGACCAGGGGGAGATAACACAAACTCCACTCTGTAGAACAGGGGGAGATCACACAAAATCCACTCACTCTGTATAACAGGGGGAGATCACACAAACTCCACTCACTCTGTAGAACAGTGGGAGATCACACAAACTCCACTCACTCTGTAGAACAGGGGGAGATCACACAAACTCCACTCTGTAGACCAGTGGGAGATCACACAAACTCCACTCACTCGGTAGAACAGGGGGAGATCACACAAACTCCACTCACTCTGTAGAACAGGGGGAGATCACACAAACTCCACTCTGTCGACCAGGGGGAGATAACACAAACTCCACTCACTCTGTAGAACAGGGGGAGATCACACAAACTCCACTCTGTAGACCAGGGGGAGATCACACAAACTCCACTCACTCTGTAGAACAGGGGGAGATCATACAAACTCCACTAACTCTGTAGAACAGGGGGAGATCACACAAACTCCACTGTGTAGAACAGGGGGAGATCACACAAAATCCACTCACTCTGTAGAACAGGGGGAGATCACACAAACTCCACTCACTCTGTAGAACAGGGGGAGATCATACAAACTTCACTAACTCTGTAGAACAGGGGGAGATCACACAAACTCCACTCACTCTGTAGACCAGGGGGAGATAACACAAACTCCACTGTGTAGAACAGGGGGAGATCACACAAACTCCACTCACTCTGTAGAACAGGGGGAGATCACACAAACTCCACTCTGTAGAACAGGGGGAGATCACACAAACTCCACTCACTCTGTAGAATAGGGGGAGATCACACAAACTCCACTCACTCTGTAGAACAGGGGGAGATCACACAAACTCCACTCACTCTGTAGAACAGGGGGAGATCACACAAACTCCACTCACTCTACAGAATAGGTGTAGGACACACAAACTCTACACAGTAAGTGCCCGAGTCGGTAATCGAACCCAGGCCTTCCCTGCTGCGAGGCGGTGAGTGTCACCATGGCGCGGCCACCACCCTGGTACCGTTCCGGCCGTGCCGTTCCATCTCCCTGCCCTGCGCACCCCCCCCCCCCCCTCTCTGTGCCGTTGCGCTGGACACAGTGACCACGGGCAGCAGTGAGGTCACCGCACTGGGCAGCATCTTCCTGCAGGTGAGCCCCTCCCCCGGGCATCGCTTACTTCCCTCTGCCTGTCGTGGCGTGTGTGCATGTGTGCGTGTGTGTCCATAGCGTGTGTGCGTGTGTGTGCTCGTACAGTGGCACCTCGGTATACGTCGTTAATTCGTTCCGGAAGGTAGAAATTATACCGAAAATGACATATACCAAACGAATTTTTCCCATAAGAAATAAAGGGAAAGTCCGTTCTAGGGTGTAAGAAATGATATTTTACATGGCATATGGGGTTGTATAAATTAATTTAGACACTACTTATTACTAAAATGCATACATAGATTAAAATGCATAAATAAATTGAAATTTAAACAAAATGTAACATCACTTTACCTTGCCATCTTGAATGAATTTGCAAAAAATTCACGTTAAAATGACAAAAAACACGTGAAAATTCACAGTTCTAGCAAGGGTCGTGCACTGAACGAGATCGACAGGCAGGCTGAGGAGCGGCGCTTTGTTTCAGTCGTGAACGGGGGTCTACGCGGGTACGCGGTGACTCGTCACGACCCACACAAGTTCTAGCAAGCGCGTCGTATCCCAAGCAAGACGTCGTATCCCAAGACATTTTTTCTCTCGTCAAAACACGACGTGTACCTAATTCGACGTATACCAAAGCGGTCGTGTACCGAGGTATGACTGTATTTGTGGGGAGCGGGCGTTTGACGCTTCACGTGCCCTTCAAGTGCACGTAGCCCGGCACAAGCGCCGTGGTGACGTCACCGCCACTTAGTGGCATATGGCGGTTGTTGCTGCGTGGGGAGCGGTGGTGTAGCGATCAGCACGCCGCTCTCTGAACCCAGCGACCCGAGTTCGATTCCCACTCACGGCCACCAACACCCAGTGACGATTATCTTAACCGGTCCCCTGGGCCTCAAATGAGTTACCTGGTGCGGTGTGTAGTAAACATCGCCACTGGGGAGACAAAGGCGGCCGGGCGTGGTGCTGGCCACCCACCCCCTCGTGTGCCGCGCCGGCCTTCGTTGGTGCTGCTCGCTGACAGCACTTGCCCCGACAGCCTGTTACAGGCTACACGGGGGACCTTTGTCTTTGTGTGCGGGCACGGGGTGAGCGGTGTCGCAGCGGTGAGCGCACTCTGCTCCACAAACCCGGCGACCCAAGTTGGATTCCCTCCCCCGGTCACCACCATCGGTGACGATCATCTGAACTCATCCTGGGCCTCCCATAGGTCGACTCGGACCTAAATGAGCATCTGGTGTTGTGAGTGCAAATGTCAGCACCGGGGAGACAAAGGCGGCCAGCCGTCATGCTGGCCACCCACCCGCTTCGTTGGTGCTACCCGCTGACAGCACTTGCCCCGACAGTCCGTTACAGGCTACCCGGGGGATCTTTGTCTTTGTACGTGCGGCGATAAATGCCGCAGCTGGTGTGTCCGCCAGTCATCTCGGTGGGTCAACCCCTGGCACCCCGGGTCGGTCCCGTGACCCCCTCCTGCCTGCGGCGAGCCTTCCACACATTGCTCGTGGTCCCAGCCTGCCACGGTGCACCTAGTCTGGCACAAGCGTGGCGGTGGCGGTGGTTGTTGTTGTTGTTGGTGTGTGATGATGTTTGTCTCTCGCTCTCTGTCTGTGCAGCTGAAACTCGTGCTGAGGAAAGGAACACAGCTTCAGAACGTCTACCTGGGTGAGCGAGCGTGGGGGTGAGCGAGCGTGGGGGTGAGCGAGCGTGGGGGTGAGCGAGGGAGGGGGTGAGCGAGCGCGGGAGTGAGAGGGGTGAGTGAGTGTCTGGGTGAGTGGGGGGTGAGTGAGTGTCGGGGTGAGTGAGTGTCTGGGTGGGTGAGTGTCTGGGTGAGTGAGTGTCTGGGTGGGTGAGTGTCTGGGTGGGTGAGTGTTTGGGTGGGTGAGTGCCAGGGTGAGTGAGTGTCTGGGTGAGTGAGTGTCTGGGTGAGTGAGTGTCTGGGTGAGTGAGTGTCTGGGTGAGTGTCGGTGTGAATGTCGGGGTGAGTGAGTGTCTGGGTGGGTGAGTGCCAGGGTGAGTGAGTGTCTGGGTGAGTGAGTGTCTGGGTGGGTGAGTGTCTGGGTGGGTGAGTGTCAGGGTGAGTGTCAGGGTGAGTGAGTGTCTGGGTGAGTGAGTGTCGGGGTGAGTGAGTGTCGGGGTGAGTGTCTGGGCGAGTGAGTGTCGGGGTGAGTGAGTGTCGGGATGAGTGAGTGTCTGGGTGAGTGGGTGAGCGAGTGTCTGGGTGAGCGAGTGTCTGGGTGAGTGAGTGTCGGGGTGAGTGAGTGTCGGGGTGAGTGTCTGGGTGAGTGAGTGTCTGGGTGGGTGAGTGTCTGGGTGGGTGAGTGTCGGGGTGAGTGTCAGGGTGAGTGAGTGTCTGGGTGAGTGAGTGTCGGGGTGAGTGAGTGTCGGGGTGAGTGTCTGGGCGAGTGAGTGTCGGGGTGAGTGAGTGTCGGGATGAGTGAGTGTCTGGGTGAGTGGGTGAGAGAGTGTCTGGGTGAGCGAGTGTCTGGGTGAGTGAGTGTCGGAGTGAGTGAGTGAGTGTCGGGGTGAGTGAGTGTCGGGGTGAGTGTCGGGGTGAGTGAGTGTCGGGGTGAGTGAGTGTCGGGGTGAGTGTCTGGGTGAGTGAGTGTCGGGGTGAGTGTCTGGGTGAGTGAGTGTCGGGGTGAGTGAGTGTCGGGGTGAGTGTCTGGGTGAGTGTCGGGGCGAGTGGGCGTCTGGGCGAGTGGGTGACAGGGCGAGTGAGTGTCTGGGCGAATGAGTGTTTGGGTGAGTGAGTGTCTGGGTGAGTGAGTGTCTGGGTGAGTGAGTGTCGGGGTGAGTGAGTGTCAGGGCGAGTGAGTGTCGGGGCGAGTGAGTGTCTGGGCAAGTGAGTGTCGGGGTGAGTGAGTGTCGGGGCGAGTGAGTGACGGGGCGAGTGAATGTCTGGGTGGGTGAGTGTCGGGGTGAGTGAGTGTCTGAGTGAGTGAGTGTCGGGGTGAGTGAGTGTCTGAGTGAGTGAGTGTCTGGGTGAGTGAGTGTCTGAGTGAGTGAGTGTCGGGGTGAGTGTCTGGGTGAGTGAGTGTCTGAGTGAGTGAGTGTCGGGGTGAGTGAGTGTCTGGGTGAGTGAGTGTCTGGGTGAGTGAGTGTCTGGGTGAGTGAGTGTCGGGGTGAGTGAGTGTCTGGGTGAGTGTCTGGGTGGGTGAGTGTCGCGGTGAGTGAGTGTCTGGGTGAGTGAGTGTCGGGGTGAGTGTCTGGGTGAGTGAGTGTCGGGGTGAGTGAGTGTCGGGGTGAGTGTCTGGGTGAGTGTCGGGGCGAGTGGGCGTCTGGGCGAGTGGGTGACAGGGCGAGTGAGTGTCTGGGTGAATGAGTGATAGGGTGAGTGAGTGTCTGGGTGAGTGAGTGTCTGGGTGAGTGAGTGTCTGGGTGAGTGAGTGTCTGGGTGAGTGAGTGATAGGGTGAGTGAGTGTCGGGGTGAGTGAGTGTCTGGGTGAGTGAGTGATAGGGTGAGTGAGTGTCTGGGTGAGTGAGTGTCGGGGTGAGTGAGTGTCTGAGTGAGTGAGTGTCTGGGTGAGTGAGTGTCTGAGTGAGTGAGTGTCTGGGTGAGTGAGTGTCTGAGTGAGTGAGTGTCTGGGTGAGTGAGTGTCTGGGTGAGTGAGTGTCGGGGTGAGTGAGTGTCTGGGTGAGTGTCGGGGTGAGTGAGCATCGGGGTGAGTGTCTGGGTGAGTTAGTGATAGGGTGAGTGAGTGACAGGGTGCACGTCTCCGTGTGCATTGCAGAGCTGACGCTGCCGCAGTTCTACAACTTCCTGCACGAGATGGAGAGGGCGAAAGCGAGCCTTGACAGCTTCCTGTGAGAGGGGGCGGAGGGAGGGAGGGAGAGCGGGGGAGAGGGAGGGGGCTGAGGGAGGGAGAGGGGGGTGGAGGGAGGGGGGAGAGGTTCGAGAACTTCCTGTGAGAGGGAGGGGAGGGAGAGGGGGGCAGAGGAAAGGGAGGGGAGGGGAGAGGGGGGCAGGGGAGAGGGAGGGAGAGGGAGGGCGGGGAGGGAGGGAGGGAGAGAGGGAGAGGAAGGGGGCTGAGGGAGGGAGGGAGGGAGGGAGAGGGGGGCGGAGGGAGGGGGGAGAGCGGGGGAGAGGGAGGGCGGGGAGGGAGGGAGAGCGGGGGAGAGGGAGGGCGGGGAGGGAGGGAGGGAGAGAGGGAGAGGAAGGGGGCTGAGGGAGGGAGGGAGGGGGGGGAGGTTCGAGAACTTCCTGTGAGAGGGAGGGGAGGGAGAGGGGGGCAGGGGAGAGGGAGGGAGAGGGAGGGAGGGGAGAGGCTCGTGAGCTTCCTGTGAGAGTGAGGGGGGCAGAGAGAGAGATGGGACGGAGAGGAGTTGTAATGAGCGAAGGGAGAGCTTTCTGTGAGAGAGAGGGCAGGAGGGAGGAAGGGCGGGGGTAGGGCAGGAGCAAGGGGGGAGGGAGGGGGAAGGGCAGAAGGGGGGCGGGAAGGGAGGGAAGCCTCGGAAGCTTCCACGGAGAAAGCGGAGAGAAGGAGGGGAGTGAGGATTGCAGCTCGTGGTGCGTGCACACTCCCTCTGGCTTGCCGCTGGCACGCAACTTGCTCTCTTGACCTCTTGACCCCTGCAGCCACGAGAGGCCGCCACGTGACGTTCGCAGCAACTGTCAAAGCGCCACGATTGTTTGTCGGAACGGCGCGGCGATGATTATTCTTTCAGCGAGTCGATTTCTCTCGCCAAATCCTGGCCCCGCTGCCCCGTTGCCCACGCGGTTGGGGCTCGTGTGGACGCTGCATGCGACGGGGGGCAAAGCAAACATCCGCGGAAGCTCCGTGGTGGGGGAAGCAGCCCTGGGCAGTACAGCCAGAGACGAGGAACTCTTTGGGGTGGGGGGGTGGGGGGGGGGCACTGCCGCAGATTTCTGAATTGAAAACTCCACGGCAATTGCCACGAGACGAACGCGCACACGGAGGCCACGTGTCGAGGTGAGGTCACGTGGGCACCACGTGACCTGTGACCTGGAGGTCGAACAGATGCCACGTGACCTCCGCGTGTTCGTCTCGTGGCTTCTCGGCCCCATGACGATGGAGGTTGTCAAATCCGTGGTAAATAATTAAAAGCCGAACTATTTTTTTATGTTTTAGCAGGTAAGGCGCACTGAGAAATGTCGTTTTTTTTCACACAAATGATAGCTCGTTGAAGCGGCTTATCACGTGGCAATTTAGAGCAGCCAAATACGCTTATTAAACGCGTGTTTCTAAATGTGGAGGTGAAAACCCGGAGGATCCGGAGAAAAATCCACGCGAGCATGGGGAGAGATGAGAGAGAGACACGAAGACTCCAAATATACAGCAGCAGGCGTCAGGGTCTGGATCGAACCCACGACCTCCTGTAGACCAGGCGAGGTAGTTAACATCTCCTAGCCACCGTGATGATGATGATGAGAGAGAGAGAGAGACACGAAGACTCCAAATATACAGCAGCAGGCGTCAGGGTCGGGATCGAACCCACGACCTCCTGTAGACCAGGCGAGGTAGTTAACATCTCATAGCCACCGTGATGATGATGATGAGAGAGAGAGACACGCAAACTCCAAATGTACAGCAGCAGGCGTCAGGGTCGGGATTGAACCCACGACCTCCTGTATACCAGGCGAGGTAGTTAACATCTCCTAGCCACCGTGATGATGATGATGAGAGAGAGAGAGAGACACGAAGACTCCAAATATACAGCAGCAGGCGTCAGGGTCGGGATCGAACCCACGACCTCCTGTAGACCAGGCGAGGTAGTTAACATCTCATAGCCACCGTGATGATGATGAGAGAGAGAGAGACACGCAAACTCCAAATGTACAGCAGCAGGCGTCAGGGTCGGGATTGAACCCACGACCTCCTGTATACCAGGCGAGGTAGTTAACATCTCCTAGCCACCGTGATGATGATGATGATGTGAGAGAGAGACACGCAAACTCTAAACATACAGCAGCAGGCGTCAGAGTCGGGATCGAACCCACGACCTCCTGTAGACCAGGCGAGGTAGTTAACATCTCCTAGCCACCGTGATGATGATGAGAGAAAGAGACACGCAAACTCCAAATATACAGCAGCAGGCGTCAGGGTCGGGATCGAACCCACGACCTCCTGTATACCAGGCGAGGTAGTTAACATCTCCTAGCCACCGTGATGATAATGATGTGAGAGAGAGACACGCAAACTCTAAACATACAGCAGCAGGCGTCAGGGTCTGGATCGAACCCACGACCTCCTGTAGACCAGGCGAGGTACTTAACATCTCTAGTTAGCTGGAAAACCACGCGCTTCAATCAACAACAACATCAGCACGGGGCGCGGATAGTGAACGAGCACAGGCTCTGTGAATTATGCAACGAAACATCGGCGGTTCCTGAACAAAATGCGTTTGTTGTGTCGTCTTGTGTCCGGTCACCACCGATGTTGGTCGCTGCTGCTGCTCAAATAAATGTTGATGGTATGTGTGGGTGCGTGTCCGCGTGTTGAACTTATTTCGCCGCCGTACGTAGCCTAACCGCGTTCGTAGGAGGTGTGGGGCGACCGAACAACGAGAGTGCCCACAATGCAGTGCTTCAAGAACGACTACGGATTGTTAGCCTTTTATCTGGCAACAAAATTGACACCTTTATTACAAAGAGTCGTGTTTGCATTGACCACAATACCTGCAGTCGGAATGTAAACAAAAAACACAACTCTGATAATGTATGCACTGTCCTTGAAGTTGATTGGTCCACACCTGAGACAGCTTTCCTTAGAGCCTAGTCTCACATGGTGTTGGACCAGATGACGCCAAAAGGCGCACAACTCAAAGACAATGCACCATCAGAGTATGAGAGCTCGGGGTAAGCATTTACACCATTGGAACCTCATTTGCCAGTAAAAAATATGATAATTGTTTTTTTTACCCTTCTATCTGGCAACAAAACTGACACCTTTTTTTTACCAAGAGTAATGTTTGCATTGACCACAATACCTGCAGTCGGAATGCAAACAAAAAACATAACTCTGATAATGATATGCATTGTCCTTGAAATTGATTGGTCCACACCCGAGACAGCTTTCTTTAGAGCCTAGTCTCACATGGTGTTAGACCAGATGACGCTAAAAGGTGCCAATTATCATTTTGTTACTGGCAAATGAGGTTCCAATGGTGACTACGGAGTGGTTTTTGTTGTTGCGTAACGAACGGTGGCCGAGAGCTCCTGTACATGCGCTCCGTCTGTGTGTCTGTGTTAGTGGGGAGCGGTGGTGTAGCGGTTAGCGCGCTGCGCTAAAAAACCTGGCCACCCGAGTTCGATTCCCGTTCACGGCCAACACCCAGTGACGATTATCTGAACCGGTCCTGGGCCTCCCCTCGGTTGACTCGGCCTCAAATGAGTACCTGGTGCGGTGTGTAAACATCGCCACTGGGGAGACAAAGGCGGTCGGGCGTGGTGCTGGCCCACCCATCCCCTCGTGTGCCGTGCTGGCCTTCATAGGTGCTCGCTAACAGTACTTGCCGCAACAGTCTGTTCAGGCTATACGGGGGATCTTTGTCTTTTTGTAGTGAGGAGCGGTGGTGTAGCGGTTAGTACGCTGCGCTACGAACCCGGCGAGACCTGAGTTCGATTCCTGCTCACGGCCAACAAAAAGTGACGATTATATGCACCGGTCCTGGGCCTCCCCTAGATTGACTCGGCATCAAATCAGTACCCGGTGCGGTGTGTAAACATCGCCACTGGGGAGACAAAGGCGGTCGGGCGTGGTGCTGGCCCACCCATCCCCTCGTGTGCCGTGCCGGCCTTCATAGGTGCTCGCTAACAGCACTTGCCCCAACAGTCTTTTCAGGCTGTACGGGGGACGTTTGTCTTATGTGTAGGTTTGTGACTTAAAGGATCGTGAAGTGTCGCCATCTCTGGCTTTTTTCCCACTTTTGAGCAAAACCCAGAGAGACACATTTCTCGGTCAGCTGGTAGGTTTATGTTTAAAAGTTGCAACACAAGCCCGGTACCAGAACTCGGTGCAAGTTCCTTCCTGCAGCCCAAACGCAGATACCAACCCTGGACAGGTGGCAACCCTGGTGGGTGCTTGGGTGAGTGAGTGGCTGAGTGGATAATTGATTGACTGGCTGAGTGCATGAGTGAGGAAGTAAGTGGGTGAGTGACTGAGTGGCTGAGTGTATCATTGAGTGGGTGAGTGAATGTGCATGAGTGACGGTGGATGAGTAAATGAATGGGTGAGTGGATCATTGAGAAGGTGAGTGGGTGAGTGACTAGGTGAGTGAGGAAGTAAGTGGGTGAGTGACTGAGTGGCTGAGTGTATCATTGAGTGGGTGAGTGAATGTGCATGAGTGACGGTGGATGAGTCAATGAATGGGTGAGTGGATCATTGAGAAGGTGAGTGGGTGAGTGTATCATTGAGTGGGTGAGTGAATGTGCATGAGTGACGGTGGATGAGTCAATGAATGGGTGAGTGGATGATTGAGAAGGTGAGTGGGTGAGTGACAAGGTGAGTGAGGAAGTAAGTAGGTGAGTGACTGAGTGGCTGAGTGAGTGCTACGGTTTCCAACCCTTCTGTAGACCAAACACCGATACATTTCTCAACCCTGGCAGTCGTCTGCGATAAAGTTCTACTGATTCCAAAGAACACAGGATGAGATGTTATTATCCTTTGTGCAAGCACTTCCAAGAGTTCATGAACAGTGAGCCTGGTGAAATTTGGGGAGCGCATCGTCAGTAGTGAACCTTTGGGTCCTAGGGTGTTTCGGCCTTTCATACTATACACCCTCCCCAAAGGCGGCCAGCGACAGGGTGATCAATCCTACGCTTGCGTCCCATTCCCAATTAGTCATAGGAGTTGCCTTGTTGTTGATAGCCAACATCCCATGGGACTATGCATGGCAGGGGCGTCCTCATCCCTGAGTCAAGCATTGTTGACTGCATACCTCCTGGCCCTCTCACTTTGGGGCCCAGCTGGGGTCTTTCCTCTTCATCCAGAGCCACTGACTGCTGCCTTCTGCCGCCTCCGATACAGCTCTGATTGCCGAACGCTGGCTCTGGTCCTTAATTCCCAGGTCTCTAAGCAGTCTGGTTGTAGATGTTGCCACAAAACCTCTGCAGCCCACCTCCACTGGTCGGACTTCTGTGTTCCAGCCATGATGCCGTGCTTCAGCAGCTAGATCGGCATAGCGCAGATGTTTTCGCTCATAAGCCTCATCTACTGAGTCCTCCCAGGGTACTGTGAGCTCAATGATGAAGACCTTCTTGAGCGAACGGGACCAGAGCACCATGTCAGGTCTTAGGGTGGTGGTTGCGATCTCCGGAGGAAACACAAGTTGCCGGCCAATGTCAGCTAGCATTTTCCAGTCGCGGGCCAAGCGCAGCTGGTCTCGCTCTATTGGTGTAGAGCCGCTCTTTGGTGGTTTAGCCCCTTCGCGGACAAAGGTCGTCCGTAAGGGGTGTGATGCTGCTGGGGGTGGTAGGGAGTTGGTGGCTCGATACCGGTCGATTTGTTACCAGATCTCGGTAACAAATCAATTTGTGCCACCCGACGCACACAGATGGCAATTCCCGGACTCTGGGCAGGTTTAAACCTTGCCACGTGGACAATCTCACTGTTTCATTGCTTTTATGGCTTTATTTTGGTGATTTCGAAAAGTTTTTTGGTTTGGCCATGTTTGTTGTAGTACAGAGTTAGACTGATGGCCTTAATCTAAGTTGTCTTGTGGTTGTTGTTGTTGTTGTTTGACTTGCATCCCACTGGGATTTTTGCACACAGTGTTGGTGTACGGTGCCTTTTCTGCAATATTTTGCTGTCTTTTCTTGGATTTTCTGTTTGCACTTAGTCACTTTAAGATGTTTTCTTGTTCATGTTTTCTGTTTGTTGCGGTTGCACCCGATTCAAGAGCCGAATGGCTCACAGGGCTAGATACCTAATACATGAGCTTGAAAGAACCAAAGAGTATGTTAACCCGGTGCTGTATATTTAGACCATTGCCCCCAATAGGGTTTCAAGACCGTGCTGATGAGACCCCAGAAGCCTGCCCACCGATGGGCTTGGGCGAAACCACGCCCTGCCCAGTCGCATTGGGCCGGAAAACTCCACAGGCTCAGGGCAAAGATGCCCTGCTGGTTCTCCCCTTCAAGTTCAAGCTCATGTATTAGGTATAGCCCTGTGAGCCATTCGGCTCTTGAATCGGGTGCAACCGCAAAGAAACAAAAACATGAACAAGAAAACATCATAAAGTGACTATGCGACTATGGGCAAACAGAAAATCCAAGAAAAGACAGCAAAATATTGCATAAAAGGCACCGTACACCAACGCTGTGTGCAAAAATCCCAGTGGGATGCAAGTCAAACAACAACAACAACCACAAGACAACTTAGATTAAGGCCATCAGTCTAACTCTGTACTACAACAAACAAACATGGCCAAACCAAAACACTTTTCGAAAATCACCAAAATAAAGCCATAAAAGCAATGAAACAGTGATCATAGGAACTGTGACCGAATTTTCACAATAAACGACTTAAACAACATGGACCACCAAACTCTGCAGCCATAGCTGACAGCCCTGCGGAGCCAGTGGTGGCAATTCCACGTTAATATGGCGAGGGTGAGATTATCCATAGGACAAGCAGAATCAGAACATTCATCCCATGAGCCATCAAGTTCTTTTTCACAGATGGGGCCGTCCATAAATGACGTCACGCGATTTTGGACGATTCTTGACCCCCCCCCCTCGTCACACGGCGTCACAAAAAGTCAGACCCCCCCCCCCTCAAATATGACGTCACAAAGCTCTGCCCCCCCCCCCAAAACCATACTTCCATTTTGAAAATAAAACATGCTTCAAATCGCTTTAAATTATCGTCATTGTAGTGCGTATTTTATGTGGCGCTGCACTTTGATGTTGTAGGACAAAACATGTATTACAAAGTCTATTTAATTAAGTAGAACGTGTTGTCTATATTCATTAAAAGTTGCGCATTTTGATGTGACGTCACATTTCTCAAACACCCCCCCCGCCCTCGTCACACATCGTCACAAATGTCTGACCCCCCCCCCTAGGTGCGTGACGTCATTTATGGACGGCCCCGATGTCGTTTTCACAGTTGTTGGCTTCCCCGCAAAGTGGTGACAATTGTATCTACCCCCCGATGGATGATGGGCTGCTTCAACCGTACCCCCCTCCCCACCCTGTCGCCCCGCTCCAAGCAGGATTTGAAGTTAATATTACACATACTTGGTGCCCCTCTGTGTGTCCCCTCGCTGTGCGTTTTACTCCCATTTACACCTGACGACGAGCACTTGTGTTGCGTTCGAAACGTCGTGATTTTAATTTTATTTCTACATACGTGACTTTACCGAACAAAAAACAATGAGTATAGTAGGGAAGTAATAAAATAATAAAAATAAAACATAATAAAATAAGTATAATATTATAATATTATTATTATATTATTTATAATGCTTTATTTTTATTATTTTATTACTTCCCTTCTACGTGACTTTACCGAAAGAACCAAGAAGATGAATCCCTGCAGTCACGAAAGCTTTAAATCGAAAAACAGTGAGTATAGTAATTTATGCAGTCACGACAGCTTCAATTCTCGATTTTTCACCACCAATGTTATGATTCGTGAATATAATTAGTTTCATTTAGGTTCGAGCACTGGATACTACGAAAGTTGTTATACTGGTAGGAACCTCCTGGTTACACCAGCTCACAGGGGATTATTGTGTCCGTCCGTCCGTCGTGCATCCAAAAATGGGAGGGGTGGGGCTGGGTGGAGAGGGGCTGGGTGGGGAGGGTGGGGAGGGGCTGGGTGGGGAGGGGAGGGGCTGGGCTGGGTGGGGGGTGGGAGGGGTGGGGCTGGGTGGGGAGGGGCTGGTCACCCCGTGGTGCCCTTATAAAACTCAACGTTTCACCTACTCACGCCGGCTTGTGCCCGCCCTCACAGTCGGGCATATTTGCGGAATACACCACGCCGCCGTTGACCCTGCAGGCAATTGACCGAGCAACCCGACGTTCCTACCAGCTCCCTCCGCAGCAAAAATGTGTTTTTTTTATTTTACAAGGCAAGACGCACAGAGCTACACGTATGGGGTATTTTTTCAGAAGCGACCTGCTCAACGTAGCGGCCTTTAATTGTCATCATCACCACGTGGTCATGTATAGCAGCAGCCCAAATTACTCGACACGTGTGGATGTCAATTCTAAATGTGGAGGGGAAAACCCGAAGGATCCACGCGACCAAGGAGACACGCAAACTCCAAATATACAGCAGCAGGCCTCCTGTAGACCAGGCGAGGTAGTTTATATCTCATAGCCACCGTGATGATGATGAGAGAGACACTGCAAACTCCAAATCTACAGCAGCAGGCGTCAGGGTCGGGGTCGAACCCACGACCTCCTGTAGACCAGGCGAGGTAGTTTATATTCTTAGGTGTTTTCGGTAAAGTCACGTAGGTAAAACATTAAAATTTATAAAAGTAAAATAAAATAAAAATCACGACGTTTCGGAGGCAACACAAGTCTCTGTCATCAGGTGGAACCATCACAGCCAGATTTACTGTCTCAAGTGAGGCAATGATTCAAGATGTAATCCCTTAAAAGCAAGTTGAGGGGGGAGGAGAGGGGGGGGGAGCTCATCAGAATGTGGTAGCCAATGAATGGAACGTATCGGGAGGGAGGGGGGCGGGGCTCAAAGACGGCACGAAGTGCCAAGTAGAACGCATCGGGAGGGGGAGGGGGCAAAAGAATGTACGACGTGGTGCAAGAGAGCGTGGTTGTGCGCAAGCAACTACTGCTGCACACGCCAACGCATTGGACAGAGGGGGAGTGGAGGCCAAAAGAGAGTTTGGGGTGTAAGTGTACGTGGACATGTGTGTGTACAAGCACCTGTTGATACACATGATAGAAAAGAACGTAAATGCCCATGTTTATACCAGTGCTGGCTGAACAATGAAGAGAGTACTGTTAAACACTGGGGATGTTAACACTCGGTAAAATAAAGTAAAATAGTGCCTGTCAGATAAGATGGTCCAAAAAAGTGTAATTAAGTCTTTTTTGCGTGGTTGATAACATCTTTCCAATGATTACTAAGTTTGTACCCATCATCACGGTTGAAATTATGTCTGTGTTTGTATATGTGTATGGCCTCGTGTACAAACCTTTGATGGTAGCCGGGAGGTTTGCAGAGAACCTTGGTCTCGGAAAAGACAATTTCATGAGAGCCCACCGAGTTGTAGCAATGATCGGCAACGGCCGAAGAATCAGTTCTGCCGTGTTTCAGATCTGACTTGTGCTCGCGGACACGATCAGAAACATGACGTTTCGTTTCTCCAATGTAGCAATCACCACAAATGCAACTCAATTTATAGACTCCAGGATACTGTAAGTCAGGAACGACATCCTTCACAGGTGGAATCAGATCACGGATTTTATGCACTGTACTGAATCGGACTTGGATCTTATGTTTGTTTAGAATTTTGGAGATCTTTTTGGTCACGCCTGCTATGTATGATAACGTGATAGTTTTGGTCGGGGTTTCATGTGGTGGTATCTGTGTGGTGGGAGAAACAGCTTGGCGGATAGTGCGGTCAGAGTATCCGTTCATCCTGAGGGCCCGATGTACATGTCTTAATTCACCGGTCAGGTGGTGTTGGTCAGAAATGCCATGGGCTCTGTGGTATAGCGTTTTGATGAGAGAATTCTTTTGAGATGGGTGGTGGTGGGAATCCGGTTTCAAGTAGGAATCTGTGTGGGTGGCTTTCCTGTAGACAGAATGTCCCAAGGATCCGTCAGGCCTCCTCTCAAACAGAATATCCAAGAATGGTAGTTTACCGTCTTTCTCCACTTCCATGGTGAATCTGATGGATGGGTGTCTAGAATTGATGTGGTCCAAGAAGTGGTTCAATGCTGGGAGGCCATGTGGCCAGATGACGAAAGTGTCATCCACATACCTCTTCCACAGGGAAGGACGCAGGGTGGATGTCTGGATGGCGTCTATATCTCATAGCCACCGTGATGATGATGAGAGAGACACCATAAACTCCAAATATACAGCAGCAGGCGTCAGGGTAGGGGTCGAACCCACGACCTCCTGCACACCAGGCGACCGTGATGATAGGGCAGATGACAGGACAAAGCGTGTTAATAAAATGTAGAGGAGTAAAATGACGGTCAAGGAGGGCAGTGGGTTGAGGGTTAAGACAATGAAACTATGAGTTTACTGTGTTTGCAATGACCCACGACCAGCAGACCGTCAGAGTGTACCAATACCGCGTACGGTATATATACTATACCAGTACCACTGTTTGCTTACACTATGGGGTGAACTAGTTATTTTTCTCATTCGTAATGTTACGCAAGATAGAATAAATGAGTACACGCCTAATGAATGACGCGGGGAAAATGTGAATTTCATTAACTCCCTTCAACATAGTTATGATGATCAAATATACACGCGAGTTCAAAATGTGTTGCCGTACGCGCGCGGCGTTGTGGGTAATTCACAGGGCCCGAATCGATACGGGACTTTGCCGAATCGATTCGTTGCTCTGCAAGTAACGGGGAATCGAATCTATTCTCGGTTAGACGAATCGAAAACGTCATATCATAACGTTAACCCTATTGCAAGCGATTGTTTTATACGAGCACTGCACGGTCATAGAAGCCTTGCATTACCACTGCAGGGGTCATGCATCGCTATGGATAATACAAATAATAGATTATTAAATCGATTGCTTGAATTGTGTTCACGATTCGTGCCCACCGGGAATCGTTGACGTGTCGGATCCGCATGTTGCGCGATGACGTCAACCAAACGTCCAAACTCTCCGCCGCGCGGTGACGTCACCATCGTTCCACATTGTTCCATCCTCGCGGTGCGCGATGACGTCATTGCGCTGGCAGATTCTTCTTTCACAGCGTCGTGACGTCACCCACCGTTCCCGCGCGTTCGAGCGCGCGCCCTCTCCCCCCCCACGAAGCGATGCGCGATGACGTCACCACGCCCGCACACACACAAAAAGCGACCCCGCCCCCCAACGCCGTGACGTCACCACGCACGGCGCGTGGTGACGTCACCACGCACGTCGCGTCTGACGTCGCCACGCACGCCGCGTTGAGACGTCACCACGCCCGCACACATAAAAAGCGATTTCGCCCCCCACCCCCCTCCGGCTCCGTGACGTCACCACGCACGATGCGTGGTGACGTCACCACGCACGCCACGTGTCTCTCGCGCGCGCGCGTGCGTGCGTGATGACGTCAACCGTGCGCGATGACGCAGACGCGTCAGTGCTGAGCTGGCGAGGCGGAGGAAGAGGAGACGGCGGTGAACGAGGAGGAGGAGGAGGGAGGTGGTAGGAGGTGGACAAGGAGGTGGACGAGTAGCTGAGGAGGACTTTCACTGAACAGCGACAGCGGCAGCAGCAGCAGCAGCCATGGTTCTGCGCAAAAAGAACAAGAGTCCGCCCGTGCTGAGCCACGAGTTCGTGATTCAGAACCACGCGGACATCGTGTCGTGCGGGGCCATGCTCATCGCGCTGGGTCTGGTGTTCGAGGTGGGTGACGAGGGTGGAGGAGGTGAGGGGGGTGACGAGTGAGGAGAGAGGAGGTATGGTGCGCGTGTGTGTGTGTGAGAGGAAGAAGCGTGGAGAGACAGGGAGGTGAGTGACGTGGCTTAGTGGTCAATCGCTTGTGTGGGGGGGGGAGGGATGACCCCATCCAGCAGTGGAGTGGTGATCGTACAGCAACATCTGGTGAGATGTTAACTACCTCGCCTGGTACACAGGAGGTCGTGGGTTCAATCCCAACCCTGACAATGCCTGCTGCTGTATATTTGGAGTTTGCGTGTTTCTCTCTCTCATCATCATCAGGGTGGTTAGGAGATGTTAACTACCTCGCCTGGTCTACAGGAGGTCGTGGGTTCGATCCAGACCCTGACGCCTGCTGCTGTATATTTGGAGTTTGTGTGTCTCTCTCATCATCATCATCATCATCACGGTGGCTAGGAGATGTTAACTACCTCGCCTGGTACACAGGAGGTCGTGGGTTCGATCCAGACCCTGACGCCTGCTATATATTAAGAGTCTGTGTGTCTCTCTCCCTGTGGACGCGTGGATTTTTCTCCGGGTCCTCCAGGTTGCCCCCCCTCAACCCCCCTAAACATTTAGAATCAACGTCACGCGTTTAAGAGAGCGTTTGGGTAACTACTTAACATTTCCACATGGGTGATGAGCGAGCTACTATATTCATTTACGATCGCCAGGTCGTCTCTTACCTGGTAAAGTAACAAAAAAATATTTATTCACGCGATCTAACCCCCCCCCAAAAAAACCACTCTATTATGGATGATATTGGTTGTGGAAGCCTACGTGTTAAACTCACAAAAAATGTTTATCTTCTTGGTTCTTTCGGTAAAGTCACGTAGAAGGAAAACAATAAAATAATAAAAAGAAAACACAATATATTATTATATTATTTTATAATGCTTTATTTGTATTGATTTATTGCTTTTCTTCTACGTGACTTTACCGAAAGAACCAAGAAAGATGAATCCCTGCAGTCACGAAAGCTTTAAATCGAAAAATAATGTTTAATCTTAATTTTAGAACTTTCGTGACTGCAGGAATTATTATTTGGTTCTTTCGGCTTAAGTCACGTCTAAAGATAAAATAATAAATTAAATTAAATAATAGCATACGACGTTTCGATTGCAACACAAGCAATCGAAACGTCGTATGCTATTATTTAATTTCATTTATTATTTTATCTTTAGACGTGACTTAACCGAAAGAACCAAATAATAATGTTTAATGTAGAATTTGTAGCCAATCAGAGCCAGGCGATCCGTCCAATGGCAGCGCACCGTCCCTGGGCTGCACGTGGACCACGTGGTCTCCTCTCTACCCTCGTGTTCATTACGGTACGGTAGTAATAATAATGATGATCGGTCGTAATGACATGGCTGGAAACATCCTAAAGTAGTAAAAACACCGATGTAGCCAAGGGAACCTCCCTAACGAAACTCCAGTGCGACTTTACTGGATGAATAAGTGAATGATGTAGGGTTACTCTGGGATCGGGTTCATGTTTAGGTGTTTTTGGGGAGTCTGAGTGTAATAGTGGTGGACATATGTTGGGGTTAAACGTTAGGGGTTCGAGTTTGTGGTTAGAGGTTAGGGTTTAATGTTAGGGGTTAGTTTGTGGTTAGAGGTTAGGGTTCAATGTTAGGGCTTACACTATGAGATCTCTTTTACCAGTGGTACAAATATAGTAGTAGGGTTTTACCCTTTTAAACTGGTACATATTATTATCATTATCAGAGTTGCTTCTTTTTGTTTGCCTTTTTGACGTCTTGTGTTGTGGTTATTGCAAACATGATGCCTTGAATAAAGGTGTCAGTTTTGTACCAGTTTAAAAGGGTAAAAACCTACTACTATGTTAGGGGTTAGTTTGTGGTTAGAGGATAGGGTTTAATGTTAGGGGTTAGTTTGTGGTTAGAGGATAGGGTTTAATGTTAGGGGTTAGTTTGTGGTTAGAGGATAGGGTTTAATGTTAGGGGTTAGAGTTTGTGGTTTGGCATAGAGGTTACGGTGTTATTTTAGGGGTGTGATGAGGTTTGAGTCGAGGGCTTAGAGATATTGGTTTAGGTTAGTTGTAGGGTTTAGGGTTAGAGGTCAGGCCGTTAGGGTGAAGATTAGGTTTAGTGTAAATCTTTAGGATTTAGTGTTCGGAGTAAGGGGTAAGGTTTTAAGGATACGGGTTAGGTTTTAACTTTCGGGAGGGTTACAGTTTATGTTAAGGGTTCGAGTTTAGGGTTTAAAGTATGGGGTTAGAGGTTCGGCCTCTGGTAATGTTTTAGTGTCGCGGGTTCGGGTTTATGGGTCAAGGTTAGGTTTTGTATTTTCGGTGAGCGTTGAGATTAATGGGTTTAGGGTTCGTGTTATATTGTATTGGCGAATGGGGTTCGAATATTGGAGTTTTTGGTGATGGGGGTAGGTTTTTCAGTCTCGATTTAAAGCTTTCGTGACTGCAGGGATTTATCTTCTTGGTTCTTTCGGTAAAGTCACGTAGAATGGAAATAATAAAATAATAAAAATAAAACATAATAAAATAATTCTCACGTCGTTTCGGCCACAACGCAAGCAGCCGTCCTCAGGTGGAGAGCAGGTCTGTCGAGTAGATAGACCTGCTCTCCCCCTGAGGACGGCTGCTTGCATTGTGGCCGAAACGTCGTGAGAATTATTAAACGTTTTATTTTTATTATTTTATTATTTCCATTCTACGTGACTTTACCGAAAGAACCAAGAAGGTTGTGCGCCTTTTGGCGTCATCTGGTCCAACCCATATGAGACTAGGCTCGAAGGAAAGCTGTCTCGGGTGTGGACCAATCAACTTCAAGGACAGTGCACATTATCAGAGTTATGTTCTTTTGTTTGTATTATGACTGCAGGTATTGCGGTCTATGCAAACATGACTCCTTGCAAAAAGGTGTCAGTTTTGTTGCCAGATAGAAGGGTAAAGAACCAATTATCAACCAAGAAGGTTCTTCAGTCGTAGATTGCGTCTGTGGGGGTCTTTCGTTCTGGGAGTATGGGAGAGGGTGGTCTCTGATTCTGGAGGTCTATCGGGCGGAGTCTCTTGATCATCCTGGGATCTGTGGGAGATCCTAGGATGATCAAGAGTGTGGCGTGTGTGTCAGAGGTCGCAAACGGGTTTTGATTCCTTACCCGGCCGCACCAGGGTCGCAAACGGGTACCCGTACCCTACCAGATACCCGGCTACCCGTACCCGGCCGGGTAGGGTACGGGTATCGGGTACCCGATTGCGACCTCTGGGATGAAGCCATGTTGCAGGCGCGGGTGGGTTGATTCTAGGAACTTGAATTGTGAGAAGAGACAAGACGTTGGGAAATGAGTGACAAACGGTGACTCGCCAGTGTCTCACGGCCTACCCGTACCCGTACCCGGCCGCACCAGGGTCGCAAACGGGTACCCGTACCTGGCCGGGTACGGGTAGTCGGGTATCGGGTAGGGTACGGGTATCGGGTACCCGGTTGCGACCGCTGGTGTGTGTGGAGCCTCTGGTTCTGTGGTCTATCGGGGAGTCTCTTCATTCTGGGGAATCCCCGATTCTGTGGGTACGTGGGTGGGGTATGTCGGGACAGGGTGGGGGGGGGTCCGTGGTCCTTGATTCTGGGGTTCGTAGGGAGGGGGGTCTTTGGAGGGGTCCCTGGTTGTGGCTCTCTGTGGTGTCGCGTTGCGTTGATGAGCGGCGCTTCCTCAAACACTTCCTCCTCGTGGCGACGAGTGGTTGTTGTTGTGTGTGGTGGGGGAGCGGTGACGCGAGTGGTTGTTGTTGTTGTGTGTGTCGCTGTGGGGGTCACGTGAGTGGTTGTAAGCGCACGTGGCCTACGAGCCTGGCCGCCCAGTGTTGCCATTACCTCGCCCCACGTGGTTCCAAATTCAGTGGCGAGTACTGCGACAGGATGTACGAGTGTACGTGTCTCTCATTAGCACACGTATCCAAAGCAGTCTCGGGCTAATCGCACGTTGCATTGTTTGTAAGTAGTTCATGTGTGGGTGTTGATGCGTTCGGGGGGTGTGCGTAGCATAAGGGGTGGAGGCGTGTGTGTGGCATGCATTGTGTACATGTGTGTGTACATGTGTGTGTGGCGTGCAGGGTGTGGGGGTGTGTGTGTGGTGTACAGTGTGTGTGTGTTTGTGGTTTACAGTGTGTGTGTGTGTTTGTGGTGTACAGGGTGTGTGTGTTTGTGGTGTACAGGGTGTGTGTGTGTGTGGTGTACAGGGTGTGTGTGTGTGTGTGTGCAGGGTGTGTGTGTGGTGTGCAGGGTATGTGTGTGGTGTACGGGGTGTGTGTGTGTGGTGTACGGGGTGTGTGTGTGTGGTGTGCAGGGTGTGTGTGTGGTGTGCAGGGTATATGTGTGTGTGGTGTACAGGGTATGTGTGTGTGTGGTGTGCAGGGTATGTGTGTGTGTGGTGTGCAGGGTATGTGTGTGTGTGGTGTACGGGGTGTGTGTGTGTGGTGTACGGGGTGTGTGTGTGTGGTGTACGGGGTGTGTGTGTGTGGTGTACAGGGTAGGTGTGTGTGTGTGTGGTGTACAGGGTATGTGTGTGTGTGGTGTACAGGGTATGTGTGTGTGTGTGGTGTACGGTGTGTGTGTGTGGTGTACGGTGTGTGTGTGGTGTACGTGGTGTGTGTGGTGTACGTGGTGTGTGTGGAATGCAGGGTGTACGTGTGTAATGCAGGGTGTGCGTGTACGTGTGGCATGCAGGGTATACGTGTGTGTGTGTTATACAAGGTGTGTGTGTATCAGTGTATGGTATACATGGTTGACTACGTACGGTGTGAAAGAAGTTCATGGATGCGTACATGCACGAACCTGGCAACCTAAGTTTGATTCCGGCTTAATACCAGTAAGTTGGCGAATATCTGAACCTGTCTTGGGCCTTCCCTAGTTCGACTTGGCCTTAAAGTGAGTACCTGGTGCCGTGTACAAACATGAGCACTGGGGTGACAAAGACGGCCAGGCGTCGTATTCGCCACATCACCGCCACTTGTGCCGTGCCGGCCTTCATAAGTGCTCGCTAACAGCACTTGCCCTATGTACAGAGTGTGTGTGTGTGTCATGTACAGGGTGAGTGTGTATGTGTCATGTACAGGGTGTGTGTCTGATGTACAACGGAACATCTTCGCCGGTTAGAAATGGAACATCTTCGCTGGTTAGAAACATTTAGGCTGGTCTGCCTACGATCCATCCTGGGTTTAACCAGGCTGGATTGTTTGAGGAGCTCACAAATCTTTGAAAGATCTGGACAAAGTCCCATCGGTGAGCTTGTCCGGCAGGCAAGGCTGCGTTGGCTGGGTCGTGTAGCCCGCATGCCCAGCCACCGCATGCCTAAACAGCTTTTGTTCGGCCGGATAGAAGGAGCTATATGCGCACGGCAGGGGCTAGAGAGGAGATGGAGTGATGTGGTACAAGAGGATGTGGACGTGAATGGACTTGCCGATGACTGGTACCAGCGGTGTCGAGATCGCCTCTGTGGAGGAGGCTCGTGAAGGACGCTACTGGGCAGTTGGAAGTAATCGCCCTCCAACAACAACGGAGGGCGGAGGAGCTACGCTCACAACAACGAGCGGAGCGCTAGGCAGCTAAAACAGAGCAAGTTGGCACAGTAGGGGGCACAGATGGTGCATCGGCCAGTCATCTCAGTCGACCCATGGCACCTGGGTTTTCTCCGTGACCTCCTGCCGGCAGGCGTTCGACACTTCACATGGCCTCAACGTGCACATAGCCTGGCACAAGCGGCGTGGTGACGTCACCACCACTTAGTGGCATGCGTGTGTGTGTGTGATGTACAGGGTGTATGTGTGGTAGATATATAGGATGTGTGCGTGTGTGTGGGTGTATTGCATCCTGTGTGTTTTTGTGCTCGTGAATTTACGCAAATCCACTTCCTCCACTGGCAGTGATGATACAACTACGACCAACATCTTAGCGTTTTTTTGTATGAGTGTGCGCATGTTAGAGGGAGCGGTGGCGCAGCGATTAGCACACCGCACGACCAGCCCCATGCCACCTGCTCGCCAAATCAAAATTTGCACGAACTCAAAAATGAACAACTTAAAATAACTAAATTGTTGGGACTTTGTAAAGCTATCAATGTCTCCTACCCGCAGAGAATGCTCCAGGCAACACTTGCAACAAACAGTCTGTTAATGCTATACGGGGTGGGGGGGTGCGGGACTTGTCTTTATCTGTGCTTACACGTGTCATCACGTGTTTGCGATGTACGTGTCAGTCCAAGCTCTTGGACACCCTTTGCAAAACGACGAGCTGTTTCCATCTCGGTACCGCTGCCGTGCATTCACGGTTAACATCGGTGGCAAGCGACGACCCAATCAACTCTGTGCCTCTCCCTATCCCAAGCCCGCTACTCCGATTAGCGCGGTTGGCTACGTACGGTGCGAATTAAGTTCAACGTACGTACCCGTCGTCCGTGTGTGTGCGTGTGTGTGGGGTGGGGGGGTAGAGCCGGTGCATCTACCAGTCATCAATTAGCCAATCGGTGGCACCTGGGTTTGTCCCGTGACCTCCTGTCAGCGGCGAGACACTTCACGTGGCCTCAAAAGTGCACCTGGCCTGGCACAGGCACCGTGGTGACGTCACCATCGCTTAGCGGCGAATGGCGGGTATTGGTGTAGGTTTGTGGCTCGACTTCAACTTGCATACATGTCCACGTCCCCGCCGACGACTCCACCAACCTGCGTTGACCAGCGTGGCGAAGTATGCCCAGGCGACCACTGCGAGCGACACTCTGCGTGCTCTCTAGGCCTTCATCCAGCAATGAAGTGACAGGGTGGTGATGTGTCTTACCATCACGTTTGCTTACCCGGGGAAGATCTCGCCAATTCTCAGGACTCTTTTTTTTCTGTTTTTTCAGGAGGGTCCTGCCAGGTTTTCGCAGTAGCGGTCGGGGGGGGGGGGGGGGCGATGTAGCTGCTGCTGCTTCTGCTGTTGAATGTGAACCCCTATTGAGTAATTTGCACGTAATCTTGCAGCATGTTGGGCCACTGGCAGTGACATTGCGGTGGGGTTTATATTTGTTTAGCTGTGGGAGGAGGCTGGAAAAACCGGAGAAAACCCATGCCAGAACAGGAAGAGAGAACTCACAAACTCGGCTCACTCACTCTCGCTCTTGACAGATCCGGTAGAGAACACGCAGACTCCACACACAAACGTCGGGAATTGAACCCAGGGCTTTCTTGCTGCGAGGTATGGGCGCCACCATTGCGTGTGTAATTTGTGTGAGTGCACGCAAGCGCGCGCGCGCGCGTGTGTGTGTGTACACATGCGTGTGTGTGTGTGTGTGTACACATGCATGTGTTGACTCACCTGTCTGGTTCCCACCACGCCGGTTGGAGGCGGTTTGAGCTCACGGTCACACGTGTGCGTGTTTTGTCTGCGTGCGTGTTCTGTGTGTGTGTGTGTGTGTTGTGCGCGTGTGTGTTGTGCGCGTGTTCTGTGCCTGGATGTGTGTGTGTTGCGCGTGTGTCTTGTCTGCAGGTGACGGCAAAAGTGGCGGTGGTGTTCATCACGCTGCAGTACAACGTGACTGTGCCCGCCAGCGGTATGTAGGCCTGGGGGGGCACGCAGGGGGGGGGGGGGGGGGTGTAGCGGCAGGACATTGCTCGACCACACTCAGTCGACCGCTCGCCCAACCGCTCGTCCAATCGCTCGCCCAACCGCTCGCCAAACCGCTCGCCCAACCGCTCGCCCAACCGCTCGCCTATCCTCTCGCCTATCCTCTCGCCTATCTGTTCACACATCCACTCACTCATCCACTTAAGCAATGGTTGAGTTATATTTAGTTATTTTAATTTTTACTAGGTAAGGCCCACTGAGCTGTACAGCTCTTGGGAAGCGACCTGGCTCTCACAACTCATCGCTCACGGAAGTGGCTTATCACGTGGACATTTATAGCAGCGAAATACTCTTAGCGCACGTTAATTCTCAATGTGAAGGGACAAACCGGAGGAGCTGGAGAAAATCCACGTGACCACGGGGAGACAGTGAGAGAACATGCAAACTCCAAATATACAGCAGGCACGTCAGGGTTGGGATCAAACCCACGCCCTCCTGTGTACCAGGCGAGGTAGTTAACATCTCCTAGCCACCGTAATGGTGATGAGAGAGAGAGAACATGACAACTCCAAATATACAGCAGGGCACGTCAGGGTTGGGATCAAACCCATGCCCTCCTGTGTACCAGGCGAGGTAGTTAACATCTCCTAGCCACCGTAATGGTGATGAGAGAGAGAGAACATGCAAACTCCAAATATACATCAGGCACATCAGGGTTGGGATCAAACCCACGCCCTCCTGTGTACCAGGCGAGGTAGTTAACATCTCCTAGCCACCGTAATGGTGATGAGAGAGAAAGAACATGCAAACTCCAAATATACAGCAGGCACATCAGGGTTTGGATCAAACCCACACATTCCTGTGTACCAGGCGAGGTAGTTAACATGTCGCCACCGTGGTGCCCTGCTCATCTGCTCGCTCATCCTCTTGCCTATCCGCTCCTCTCACCCATCTACTAGCTCATCCACTTACCAATTCGCTCACCTACTCATCCGCTGACTCATCTGTTCACTCAATCGCTCACCAACCTATCCGCTCACCCAACCTCCATCCATCCATCCGCTCTATAATTTGCTCACTCATCCGCTCACCATCTGCTTATTCATCCACTTACCCAGTTGCTCACCAACTCTTCCGCTCTGAACTGTTCACCCAACAAATGACTCAACAGCTCACCCTTCCGCTCATTCATCCGCTCGCCAAACTACTGACCCAACCGCAAACATGATCGATCAAACTTCGCGACCAACGCTGCATGGGTGGGGGAGGCTTTAATCTCACAGTGGATAAGCCGGAATGGGGAAGTGAGAGTCTGTGTTGTTACGATGATGGTTATGGTGGTTGTGCATCGGTGATTGTGCATCGGTGTGTGTGCGCACGCCCAGAGGGGGCAGGACGAACGGGAATTTCTACGTGAGTTGGTGTTCTAATTATGCCAATGGTGATGATGGTGGAGCTATTGTGATGGTGGTGTAACGGTAACGATGAATGATAATGATGATGATGATTGTGGTGGTGGTTGTGGTGATTGTGCGTCGGTGTGTGTGCACGCGCCCAGAGGGGCAGGAGGAACGGAAATGCGTACTTGATTTGGCGGTGTTGTCATGATGATGACGACGATGATTGTGGTGGTTGTTGTCGTGCGTGCGTGCCCAGAGGGGCAGGAGGAGCGCGTCCTCTACCAGTACGGGCCCAAGGACGCGGCAGCGGCGCTCTTCTACGCGCTGCTCGTCATCGTGTGCCACGCCGTGCTGCAGGAGTACGGCCTCGACGTATGTGCTCGCTCGGTCGCTCCTCGCTCGATCGCTCGCTCGCTCGTTCGCCTGCGGTGTTGCTCGGTCACTTGCTCAAGAAAATCACTCGCTCACTCAGTCGGTCGCTCGTTCGCTTGATCAGTCGCCTGCGCACTCACTCGGTCACTTGCTCAAGAAATCACTCGCTCAGTCGGTTGGTGGCTTGGTCAATAAGTCACTCACTCAGTCGCTCGCTCGTTCGCTTGATCAGTCACCTGCGCACTCACTTGGTCACTTGCTCAAGAAATCACTCGCTCACTCAGTCGGTGGCTTGGTCAATAAGTCACTCACTCAGTCGCTCGCTCGTTCGCTTGATCAGTCACCTGCGCACTCACTCGGCCACTTGCTCAAGAAATCACTCGCTCACTCAGTCGGTCGCTTGGTCAATAAGTCACTCACTCAGTCGCTCGCTCGTTCGCTTGATCAGTCGCCTGCGCACTCACTCGGCCGCTTGCTCAAGAAATCACTCGCTCACTCAGTCGGTCGCTTGGCCAATAAGTCACTCACTCAGTCGCTCGCTCGTTCGCTTGATCAGTCGCCTGTACACTCACTCGGTCACTTGCTCAAGAAATCACTCAATCAGTCGCTCGTTCGGTCAATCAGTCGCTTGCGCACTCACTCAGTCGCTTGCTCAATCGCTCGCTCCTTCACTCAATCTGTTGGTCATTCACTCACAGACCCAGGCACTCTTGCTGTCTTGCTCAACTCATTCATTCACTTGCTCAATTGTTTAGTCACCCGCGCACTTGTTTGCTTACCAACTTGCTCACTCGGTTAATCACTCAGTCACTCATTCTTTCAGTCACCGACTCGTTCACTCGTTTGCTCAATCACTCATTCACTCACTCGCTCACCCAATCAGTCGTTTCACTCTGTCGTCACTCACCGAGTCGCTCGCTTGTTCACTTGATTCTCACGCTCGCACACACGCTCGCTTAACTCATTTGCTCTCTCATGCCCGTGACGGTTGTTGGTGGCGCGCTGTGGTAGCGGTGGCAGTGGCGGTGATGGAGTTTGTATGTTGGGGGAGTGGTGGCGCAGCGGTTAGCGCGCCGCGTTATGAACCCGGCGACCAGAGTTTGATTCCTGCTAAAGGCCATCAACACCAGTGAGGATTATCTGGACCGGTCCTGGGACTCCCCGAGGTTGACTTAGCCTAAAATTAGTACCTGGTGCAGTGTGTCGGTAAACATCGCCTCAAGGGAGACAAATGCAGCCCAGTGTGGTGCTGGCCACCCATCCCTTCGTGCCGTGCCGGCCTTAATAGGTGCTCGCTAACAGCACTTGCCTCAACAGTCTGTTAAGGCTACATGGGGGGTCTTTGTCTTTGATGGTGGTGATGGTGGTGGTGATGGCGGTGGTGGTGATGGCCGTAATGGTCATGATGATAATGGTAGTGGTGGTCGTGATGGTGGTGGTGGTATTGGTCGTGATGGTCATCATGATGATCGTGGTGGTGATGGTCGTGTTGGTCGTGATGTTGGTGGTGGTGATGGTGGTTGTGCTGGTGGTATTGGTCGTGATGGTCATCATGACGGTGGTGATGGTCGTGTTGGTCGTGATGTTGGTGGTGGTGATGGTCGTGATGGTCATCATGACGATGGTGGTGGTGATGGTCGTGATGTTGGTGGTGGTGATGGTGGTTGTGCTGGTGGTATTGGTCGTGATGGTCATCATGACGGTGGTGATGGTCGTGTTGGTCGTTATGTTGGTGGTGGTATTGGTCGTGATGATCATCATGACGATGGTGGTGGTGATGGTCGTGATGTTGGTGGTGGTGATGGTGGTTGTGCTGGTGGTGTAGAGGCTCAACCGGCGGTTGCACCTCTCCAAGACGAAGCACAGCAAGTTCAACGAGTCCGGGCAGCTCGCCGCCTTCTACCTCGTCTCCGTCGGGTGGGCGGCCTACATCCTTCTGCCCGTACGTCACAGCCTCGCCCTTGCCTGGGTTCGATTCCAGACACGGGCTCCTACTCTCTCTCTCTCTCTCACGCTGCGTGTGTGTGTGTGTGTGCGTGGAGTTTGCGTCTCGTAGTTTAGTGGTAGTTAATTAATGCCGATGATCTGGTAATTGCTGCTCACTCAGAGGAGGAGTTGGAGGCGCTGCTGCTGAACCTGGAGCTTACCTGGGCAGTATGCTCATGACCGGCTCCGATTTGACAGCAGTGGTCTCACTCCGAATCAGTCGAGCGACATTATCTTTTCATTGGTTGCGTAACGCTGTGTGGAAGCTACCTGGTCTGTCGCTCCACACGAAGCTTCAGGTCTTCTCGGCCACAGTTATTCCCTCCTCTACGCTTGCGAAACGTGGACCCCCCTAATGGAACATCTTCGCCGGTTATAAACATTTAGGCTGGCCTGCCTACGATCCATCCTTGGTTTAACCAGGCTGGATTGTGTGAGGAGCTCACAAATCCTTGAAAGATCTGGACAAAGTCCCATCTGTGAGCTCCTCCGGCAGGCAAGGCTGTGTTGGCTGGGCCATGTAGCCCACATGCCCAGTTACTGCATGCCTAAACAGCTTTTGTTCGGCCGGATAGAAGGAGCTATATGCGCACGGCAGGGGCTAGAGAGGAGATGGAGTGGTGTGGTACAAGAGGATGTGGACGTGAATGGACTTGCCGATGACTGGTACCAGCGGTGTCGAGATCGCCTCTGTGGAGGAGGCTCGTGAAGGACGCTACTGGGCAGTTGGAGGCAGTCGCCCTCCAACAACAACGGAGGGGAGAGGAGCGACGCTCTCAACAACGAGCGGAGCGCCGGGCGGCTAAAGCACAGCAAGTTGGCACAGTGGGGGCGCACAGGTTGTGCATCAGCCAGTCATCTCGGTCGTCTCAGTCATTCGACCCGTAGCACTTGGGTCTGCCCCGTGACCTCGTGCCAGCGGGTGTTCGACACTTCACGTGGCCTCAACGTACACATTGCCTGGCACAGGCATCGTGGTGACGTCACCGCCACCTAGTTGCGAATGGCGGTTGTTGTTGTAGGAGTTTGCGTGTTGGATGCTGGCGGAGTGACGGCTGAGCCAAAGTTCACAGGAGTGGTTGCCGGTCGTAGTGACAGAAGGTCAAAGGGCAGTCTCAGCGTCGGTCACTCTTTAGGTCATTCGCTCACTCACTGTCATTCACTCACTCATTCTCGCTCGCTCGCTTGGTCACTCACTCCCTTGGCGAGTCTCTCGGTCACTCACTCACTCACTCACTCGCACACTCACCCTCCTCTGTCACCTACTCACACTTGCAGTCACTCACACAGCACACATTCAAGAGTGTGCCAAATAAAATGCCCTCTAGCCAGCGGTGGTATGAGCAAGCGATTGCACGGCTACGCATTTGCCTTGCTGATGGGGTGCTGTGGTTGGTGACAAACCATGTGTGTGTGTGTGCGCGCACGCGTGTAGTGTAGCGGTTACCACACAGCACTACGAACCCAGCGACCCGAGTTCAATTCCCACTCTCGGCAAACACCGGTGACGATTATCTGAACCGGTCCTGGTGCCTCCCCTAGGTCGACTCAGCCTCCTGTGAGTTCCTGGTGCGGCGTGTAGTAAACATCGCCACTGGGGAGACAAAGGCGGTCGAGGCGTGGTGCTATCCACCCACCCCACCTCGTGTGCCGCGCCGGCCTTCGTGGCCACCACTCGCTATAAGAGCGCTTGCCCCGGCGGTCCGTTCGGGCTATATACAGGCGATCGTTGTCGTTGTGCATGCGTGTCTGCGTGCCAGTTCCAGGAGAATGACGTGACTCGCCCCGCCAGCCTGTGGGAGGGCTACCCGCATACGGAGATGCCGTGAGTGTCCACGCGGAGTTCACGGAGGCGGCAGCCGCCGGGGTGCTGGGTTCCGGTCGAGGTTTCTTTGGTTTCTCAAGAGACCCGTGGACTTGCGTGGAGACCCGTGGACTGGTGCGTAGACCCTTCTTGCTGTGTGTGCGTGTGTTTGCGTGCGTGCGTTTCTGCTGCTCAGGTTCCTTGTGAAGTTTTTCTTCATCGGGCAGCTGGCCTACTGGCTGCACGCCATCCCTGAGCTCTACTTCCAGAAGATCAAGAAGGTGAGCGCGTGCACCAACCCCACCGCCACCACCACCCTCCCGATTCCACCCCCATTCGCAACTAAACTAAACCTTTTATTTCACCGGGGAAGGCCCCACTGAGCTATGCAGCTCTTTGTCAGAAGCGTCCTGGCCATCACGAGTGATAGCGCAACAGAGTGGCTTGTCGATCATCACGTGGACATTCATGGCAACCTAAATAGTTGAAACGCGAGACGTTGATTCTAAACGTGGAGGGAAAAACCGGAGGGCCCGGAGGAAAAAATCCATGTGACCACGGGGAGATCAAATCTACAGCAGCAGGCGTCAGGGTCGGGATCGAACCCACGACCTCCTGTATACCAGGCGAGTTAGTTTACATCTCCTAGCCACCGTGATGATGATGAGAGAGAGACACGCAGACTCCAAATCTACAGCAGCAGGCGTCAGGGTCGGGATCGAACCCACGACCTCCTGTAGACTAGCCGAGGTAGTTAACATCTCCTAGCCACCGTGATGATGATGAGAGAGAGACACGCAGACTCCAAATCTACAGCAGCAGGCGTCAGGGTCGGGATCGAACCCACGACCTCCTGCATACCAGGCGAGGTGGATAAAATCTAGCTACCTCAGCGCGACTCCAGGCATCTCTAGAAGGGGCCTATCGGCTCAACGCGCGCCCCAAGCATCCCCATGTCTCAAGTGTTGGAGCGAGGGCAGGTAGGCCCCGTAGTTTTGACTGGGAGTGCTCTTGCAAATGGCAATGCATCTGAGATGCTTATGCAGGCCGAACAAAGACCTGAGGTGCGCGGGTAGCGTTCGAGCAGCTCCCGGCAGCATCTCCCAGTGCCTTGTGCGACGCTACGCCGAGGCAGCCGTACGACCGCTGATTCCTACTCGCGCGGCGCAGTTCCGTTGACTCGATGGCGTTCCTCCTCCAAGACGTCTGGGCAGCATGGTAGTGCCGGGGGGGCCAGTACCACCTCCAGTGCGGCATCTCGGGGGGCGGCCTCTTTCCGCCGGAAGTGGCGCCGGGGGCGGCAGCGAGAGCCCCACTTGTGCTCGCCGCAGAGAACCGGAGCAAACACGAGCGCAGGCGACGATAGCTGGTGCCAAACTGTCGCCACCCCCCACCCCCCCCCTCCCGCACGGCCTTGTGGGAGCCTCGATCGCGTAACCAGGGGTTTCTTGTCACGCTCCAGCCCTAGCGGCCCTCCGCACTGCGCCGGGTCTTTCACCCGTGTTTTCCAAATCACTCCAAACCCCCCCCCCCCTTTCCGCCTTCCCAACTGAAGATTGACGATGAGTGGACGAAGGGTTCGTCCGCTACACCCCTCCACATGGGGGGGTGGGGTACGGGGGAGGTGAGGTGGGGGGTGGGGTAGGGGGGGTGGGGTAGGGGGGAGGTGAGGTGGGGGGTGGGGGTAGGGGGGGTGGGGTAGGGGGGGTGGGGTAGGGGGGGTGGGGTAGGGGGGGTGGGGTACGGGGGAGGTGAGGTGGGGGGTGGGGTAGGGGGGGTGGGGTAGGGGGGGTGGGGTAGGGGGGGTGGGGTAGGGGGGAGGTGAGGTGGGGGGTGGGGTAGGGGGGGTGGGGTAGGGGGGGAGGTGAGGTGGGGGGTGGGGTAGGGGGGGTGGGGTACGGGGGAGGTGAGGTGGGGGGTGGGGTAGGGGGGGTGGGGTAGGGGGGAGGTGAGGTGGGGGGTGGGGTAGGGGGGGTGGGGTAGGGGGGGTGGGGTAGGGGGGTGGGGTACGGGGGAGGTGAGGTGGGGGGTGGGTAGGGGGGGTGGGGTAGGGGGGGTGGGGTAGGGGGGAGGTGAGGTGGGGGGTGGGGTAGGGGGGGTGGGGTAGGGGGGGAGGTGAGGTGGGGGGTGGGGTAGGGGGGGTGGGGTAGGGGGGGAGGTGAGGTGGGGGGTGGGGTAGGGGGGGGTGGGGTAGGGGGGGTGGGGTAGCGGGGGAGGTGAGGTGGGGGGTGGGGTAGGGGGGGTGGGGTAGGGGGGGTCGTTAGACCCTAGTCGAGGCCCTACCAGCACTATCTTGTGATGGAAGTTCGAAGGTCCTTGGCCTACTCTTTCACGCTGCGTCTTCTTGCGTTATGCAGCGATCGTGTTGTCATGATGCAGGTTATATCGCGATCGAGTCTCGTGAATTAAGATTTTTTCCATGACGGTTATACCATGGTTAAATTTCGATTTAAAGCTTTCGTGACTGCAGGGATTCATCTTCTTGGTTCTTTCGGTAAAGTCACGTAGAAGGGAAGTAATAAAATTAAAAAAATGTTTTCTTTTTATTATTTTATTATTTCCCTTCTACGTGACTTTACCGAAAGAACCAAGAAGGTTATACCATGATTGTGTCGTTATGACGAAGATGATACCGTGATTGTATACTTACAATAAAGATTATACTGTGATAGTATCATTGTCATGAAGATTATGCCGTGATCCTGTTATTATAATGAAGAGTGTACCGTGATCGTGTCGGTGGAGATGTTCGCCAACTGCACTTGCCCCAGCAGTCTGTGAAAAGGCTACGTGGGTGATCTTTCTCTTTGTGTGTTACTGCAGGAGGATATGGCGCGGCAAATCCAGTACATCTCACTCTACCTGATCCACATCGCAGCTGCCTATGTGCTCTCGTACGTACACAAGCTCTCAGACAAAGCTCCCCCGCATAGCCTACGTGGGCTGTTTGGGGCAAGTTGCTGTTTGCGAGCGCCTATGAAGGCCGGCACCTATGAAGGCCGGCACGGCGCAACTACTGGGGGGGTGAAGGGGTGGCGGCGTTGTGAACAGCACCAAGCACTCCCGGCTGCCTTTGTCTCCCCAATACAGATGATTATGCACCGCACCAGGTAATTAAGGCAGAGTCGACCTCGGGGAGGCCCAGGATCAGTTCAGATATTCGCCACTGATGTTGGTCGTGGCCGGGAATGAAATCCAGATCCAGCAGGTTCGTAGCACGGGGCCGCTGCTCCCCCCTCCGTGTGCACGCCGGCACTCACATTGACACTCTTACACCCAAATTTCGATTTAAAGCTTTCGTGACTGCAGGGATTCAGCTTCTTGGTTCTTTCGGTAAAGTCACGTAGAAGGAAAATAATAAAATAATAAAAATAAAACATAATACAATTATTCTCACGACGTTTCGGCCACAACGCAAGCAGCCATCTTCAGGTGGAGAACAGGTCTGTCAAGAAGGCAGAGTCTGAATGAACAAAGACAAAGATCATTCAGACTCTGCCTCTGTTATGTTGAGTGGGCGCTGCGTGTGCGTTTCGTGTTGTGTTATGCTGTGGGCGCGCTGTGTGGGGTGTGTGCGGTGTTCTGTGTCGCGTTGAAGTGGTGTGCTGTGTGTGTGGTGCGCTGTGTGTGTGCTGTGTCATGCTGAGTGGTGTGCTGTGTGTGTGCTGTGTCACGCTGAGTGGTGCACTGTGTGTGTGCTGTGTCACGCTGAGTGGTGTGCTGTGTGTGTGCTGTGTCACGTTGAGTGGTGTGTTGTGTGTGTGGTGTGTCACGTTGAGTGGTGCTCTGTGTGTGTGCTGTGTCATGTTGAAGTGGTGCGCTGTGTGTGTGCTGTGTCACGCTGAGTGGTGCGCTGTGTGTGTGCTGTGTCACGCTGAGTGGTGTGCTGTGTGTGTGCTGTGTCACGCTGAGTGGTGTGCTGTGTGTGTGCTGTGTCACGCTGAGTGGTGTGCTGTGTGTGTGCTGTGTCACGCTGAGTGGTGTGCTGTGTGTGTGCTGTGTCACGCTGAGTGGTGCGCTGTGTGTGGTCTGTGTCACGCTGAGTGGTGCGCTGTGTGTGGTCTGTGTCACGCTGAGTGGTGCGCTGTGTGTGTGCTGTGTCACGTTGTGTGGTGCGTTGTGTGTGTGGTGTGTCACGTTGAGTGGTGTGCTGTGTGTGCTGTGTCACGTTGAGTGGTGTGCTGTGTGTGTGCTGTGTCACGCTGAGTGGTGCGCTGTGTCACGTTGTGTGGTGCGCTGTGTGTGTGGTGTGCTGTGTGTGTGCTGTGTCACACTGAGTGGTGCGCTGTGTGTGTGCTGTGTCACGTTGAGTGGTGTGCTGTGTGTGTGCTGTGTCATGTTGAAGTGGTGCGCTGTGTGTGTGCTGTGTCACGCTGAGTGGTGTGCTGTGTGTGTGCTGTGTCACGCTGAGTGGTGCGCTGTGTGAGTGGTGCGCTGTGTGTGTGCTGTGTCACGCTGAGTGGTGCGCTGTGTGTGTGCTGTGTCACGCTGAGTGGTGTGCTGTGTGTGTGCTGTGTCACGCTGAGTGGTGCGCTGTGTGTGTGCTGTGTCACGCTGAGTGGTGTGCTGTGTGTGTGTGCTGTGTCACGTTGTGTGGTGGCCGCGTGGCTCGCAGGCTATGGCGGCTGGGGCTGGTGCTGCTGCTGCTGCACTACGCGGTGGAGCTCGTGTTTCACACGGCGCGCATCCTCTCCTTCTACACGGAGCGCGTGCGCAGACTGTGAGCACGCGCACACAGTCGCACACACACGCACGCACAACACAGTCGCTCACGCACGCACAACACACTCGCTCACGCACGCACAACACACTCGCTCACGCACGCACAACACACTCGCTCACGCACGCACAACACACTCGCTCACACACACAACACACTCGCTCACTTACACACTCGCGCGCTCGCACACACTCACACGTCACACACACACGTCACACACACACACGTCACACACACGTCACACACACACACGTCACACACACACACGTCACACACACACACGTCACACACACACACGTCACACACGTCACACACGCCACACACACACGTCACACACACACACGTCACACACACGTCACACACACACACGTCACTCACACACGCACAACACACACACACGTCACACACACACACGTCACACACACACACGTCACACACACACGTCACACACACACGTCACACACACGTCTCACACACACACACACGTCACACACGTCACACACGTCACACAACGTCACACACACACGTCACACACACACATGTCACACACACACACAGTCACACACAGACCTACACACGTCACACACACACAACACACACATCACACACACGTCACACACACACACACGTCACACACACACACGTCACACACACACACGTCACACACACACACGTCACACACACATACACACGTCACACACACACACGTCACACACGCGTCACACACACGCGTCACACACACACACAGTCACACACAGACACGTCACACACACACAACACACACATCACACACACGTCACACACACACACACGTCACACACACACGTCGCACACGTCACACACACACACGTCACACACACATACACACGTCACACACACACACGTCACACACACACGTCACACACACGTCACACGCGTCACACACGCGTCACACACACACGTCACACACACGTCGCACACGTCACACACGTCACACACACACACGTCACACACACACGTCACACACACACGTCGCACACGTCACACACGTCACACACACACACGTCACACACACGTCACACGCGTCACACACGCGTCACACACGCGTCACACACGCGTCACACACACACGTCATACACACACGTCGCACACGTCACACACGTCACACACACACACACGTCACACACACACGTCACACACACGTCACACGCGTCACACGCGTCACACACACGCGTCACACACACACACGTCACACACACACACGCGTCACACACACACACGTCACACACACGCACAACACTCGCACACACACTCATATTCTTTGGTTCTTTCGGTAAAGTCACGTAGGTAGAACAAATAATGAAGATCTCACGACTTTTCGATCGCAACGCAAGCGGTCGTCCTCAGGTGAAATGAATAAATAAATAATCCAGCAGTGGAACTGCTGAACCAGCAGTTTTTTTTATTTTCTTTCGACCCCTTGTGTTGCGATGGAAACGTCGCTATATAAAATTTTATTTTCTACCTCCGTGACTTCACCGAAAGAACTAAAGAGTATGGATTCCTGCAGTCACGAAAGCTTTGAATCAAGACAAAACTCACACACTCGCTCAATCGCACACATGGTCACTCGCACACACGCTCACTCACACACGCTCACTCGCACACACACTCACACACTCGCTCACTCGCTCACACATACACACACTCGCTCACTCACACACTCGCTCACTCACACACTCGCTCACTCACACACACACTCGCTCATTCGCACACACACTCACTCACACACTCGCTCACTCACACACACGCTCACACACGCTCACTCGCACACACGCTCACTCGCACACTCGCTCACTCGCACACTCGGCACACTCACACACACAGCACACTCATACACACGCTCACTCACAGACATGCACACTCGCTCACTCACACACTCACACACACGCTCACTCACACACACGCTCACTCACACACACGCTCACTCACACACACAGCACACTCACACACACGCTCACTCACACACACAGCACACTCACACACTCATATACTCACACACACAGCACACTCACACATTCGCTCACTCACACACACGCTCACTCACACACGCTCGCTCACACACACAGCACACTCACACACTCATACACTCACACACACAGCACACTCACACACAGCACACTCACACACACAGCACACTCACACACTCATACACTCACATACACAGCACACTTACACACACAGCACACTCACACAGCACACTCACACACACAGCACACTCACACACTCGCTCACTCACACACACGTGCACAAAACATGCAATACACACACGCCCCATGTCCCCCCATGCCTCCCCGTGTTTCCATGCGTCCTCATGGCTGTATTGCCCTCTGTGTCACCCCCCCCCCCCCCCCCGTGGGGCAGGTTCACGGTGTGGGCCGTGCTGTTCGTGGTGGCGCGCCTCGCCACGCTCACCCTCACTGTGCTCACAGTGTGGTTTGGACTCGCGCGCTCGCTCCCCCAGGGGCTCGACCTGGCGACCGGAAACTTCAACACGGTCACCGTGCGGTACGCGGCGTGAGCACGCACGCACACACGCACACACACGTGGGACACGCACACACACACACGTGGGACACACACACACACGTGGGACACGCAGGCACACGCAGCACGCACGCAGCACGCACGCAGCACGCACGCAGCACGCACGCAGCACGCACGCAGCACGCACGCACGTGGGACACACACGTAGCACGCACGCAGCACGCACACACGTGGGACACACACGCAGCACGCACGCAGCACGCACGCACGTGGGACACGCACACACACGTGTGAAACGCACGCACATGCAGCACACACGCACACACACGCAGTGCGCACGCACACACGTGGGACACACACGCAGCACGCACGCAGCACGCACGCACACACGTGGGACACACACGCAGCACGCACGCACACACGTGGGACACGCACACACACACACGTGGGACACGCACACACATGCAGCACACGCGCGGAACACGCATGCACGCGCATGACATGTGGCACGCGTGGCGCACACACGTGGGACACGCACACACACCTCACATGCAATACACGCGTCTCATGCAATAAACATGCAACACACACATGGCACACACGCACGTGGAACACACACATCATATGGAGCACGCACATGCGCACAGATGATAACGATGATGACAAATTATCTGTGTGTGACTGTGTTTGTGCATGAGTGTTTGTTTGACCGTGTGTGTCTCTATGTATGAGTGCGTGCGTGTGACTGTTGTTGTCTCTATGTATGAGTGTGTGTCTCTATGTATGAGTGTGTGTCTCTATGTATGAGTGTGTGTCTGTGTGTCTGTGTGACCGTGTGTGTCTATGTGTGACCGTGAGTGTGTCTCTATGTATGAGTGTGTGTCTATGTGTGACCGTGTGTGTGTGACCGTGAGTGTGTCTCTATGTATGAGTGTGTGTGTGTGACCGTGTGTGTCTCTCTATGTATGAGTGTGTGTGTGTGACCGTGTGTGTGTCTCTATGTATGAGTGTGTCTCTAAGTATGAGTGTGTGTCTCTATGTATGAGTGTGTGTCTGTGTGTCTGTGTGACCGTGTGTGTCTATGTGTGACCGTGTGTGTGTGACCGTGAGTGTGTCTCTATGTATGAGTGTATGTGTGTGACCGTGTGTGTGTCTCTATGTATGAGTGTATGTGTGTGACCGTGAGTGTGTCTCTATGTATGAGTGTATGTGTGTGACCGTGTGTGTGTCTCTATGTATGAGTGTGTGTCTCTATGTGTGACCGTGTGTGTGTGACCGTGAGTGTGTCTCTATGTATGAGTGTGTGACCGTGTGTGTGTCTCTCTGTGTGTGCGCGTGTCTCTGCGCGTGCAGGATGAGCACGCTGGCCGCCGTGTGCCTCACCCAGGTGTGGATGATGTGGCGGTTCCTCAACTTCCAGCTGCGGCGGTGGCGCGAGAGCCGCCACGCTGCCCAGGCCGCCGCCGCCGGCGCCCGCAAGGCCGGCGGGGGCCCCCCGCTGCGCTCGGGCAAGAGCCGCAAAGACGCCGGTGAGACGGGGCCCTCGGTGGGCACGCGGTGGGGCGGTACGTGGCGGTGGTCGCCCTCTACTGACGAGGCTTGCAAGGCGTGCGCCCTGAGAGGCGGCGTGCAGTCGGCTGCCCGCATTGTCCGCGTGCGGTTTGTTCTTCGACTTGCGGCCCGGGATTTCGACGTGAACTAATCGCTCGCGGATTTGGCCCCCCTTGAGCCCCGAATTGAAGGATCTAAAATCCGTTGTGCATTCGTTTTTCGTGGAAATGTTCATTGCCAGTTGCGCACCGTGGCTTAAACCGGGCGGACATGTTCCCGAAATCCACCTCGTTGCCTCTGCAGTGCAGTAGTTGCAATATCTCTGGAGCCGTGGGCGGAGTTCGATTGATGCCGATTGGCACGGCTCGGCCATCATCCGCTGAGTGGGTGGACTCCTCCGCGGATAGGTGCCGTGGTTGACACAATCGGTGATTGAAAGTGCCCGTCCGTGTGTCCGTGTGTCCGTGTGTCTGCGTGTCCGCGTGTTTGCGTGTCCGTGTGTCCGTGTGTCTGCGTGTCCGTGTATCTGCGTGTCCGTGTGTCTGCGTGTCCGTGTGTCTGCGTGTCCGTGTGTCCGTGTGTCCGCGTGTCCGCGTGTCCGCGTGTCCGCGTGTCCGCGTGTCCGCGTGTCCGCGTGTCGCAGCGTCGCACGTGAACGGAGCGGCCAAGAGTGAGAGCGACGCCTCCCCGCGCGCCCTCGCCAAGAAGCAGAAGTCTCAGTGAAGGGGGCTGATGGGTCCGTCGCCGTGACGACCGCCGTCGTGGTGCCACGGGTTGCGAGGGGTGGGGGGGGGGCATTGCCCCCCCCACCGTTGCCACCGCCACCGCACGCTCGCTGCCCACTCGCTGCCCACCGTCCGCGACATCAACGCCGTCCGCCCGGCTGCCTCTCTACCCACGTGTCTGTCAGTTTGTTCGTCCGTGCGTGCGTGTGTGCGTGCGTACCTCGGCATAAATGCGCGCACGCCACACGCGCTCACTCGCTTGCACCCGCACATTCGCTTACACACACACACACGTTCACTTACATGCACACGGAAACACGCACTCACCTAGCCGTCCAGTCGGCCCGTGCCTGCGTTTGCTTTGTCCTGTGTAGATGCTATTCTGAGTTTGTCATTGTGTGCGCGTGTGTGTTAGTGTGCGCGCGTGTGCGTTAGTGTGTGCGCGTGCGGGTTAGTGTGCGTGTGTGTGTGTGAGCCACAAGGAAAAGGGGTTGGTTGTGTGTGTGTTAGCTGTGCGTGTGCGAGTGCCTGCGTGTGTGCGTGACCGCTTGAGGCCATGTGCGTGCGTGTGTGTGTGTGTGGCGCGTGTACGTTCGACTGCAAGTCCCCCGTGCGATTGTTCTCGTGGCCGGGCGTGCCGATGAGTCGGGCACGGACTCATCGTCGTGACAACTCGCGAGTTGCTCTGCTCGCCAGCCCCACAAGGCACTCGCCACTCGCCTCGCCCTCGCCTCAACGCGCCTATTCCCTTGAAGTCGCCTCCAGGCCTGTGACAACAAATGGGTAATCGACGACTTGCAATCGGTTATCGATGGATCGCCGATGACGTTTCGAGTGCAGTGGTGCGTCTGTCCGACTCGATTATGTTTCGATGCCCCCCCCCCGTATGTTGCGGGCGCTTGCAGTGTGATGACCCTCCCTTGTGGTCGTGAAATTCAAAACTCACGACCCCCCCCCCCCACCACCCGCCCGCCCACCCACCGCTCTCTCCAGGATCGTGATGAATTCGTACTCCACTCACCTCCACTCACCTCCACTCACCTCCACTCAGGGAGGATGAGGTCACGAGGTGGTTAATAATGACGACCAACGACCCCGGGGAGCACATCTTGTGCCCCCCCCCCTTCATTAATAATGCAAAAATAATTCGATGTTATTTGGTCAATAACAAACGAATAATTGGTCCCTCCCTCAGTGGAGATCCGTTCCGCCAGCAGTGGCCTGTGCAAGCGATTGCAGGGCTGCGCCTTTATAGCTGGCGGTGGGAGGTTTACAGTGGCCACCACCGAACCCCCCCCCCCAAACCCCCCCCTCGTACGATATCCTCGTGGTCGTGAGACCCACTCCTGCGTCTCCACCGGGTTGTAAAGACGGCTGCCATCTGGGTCGTAAGATGCCTCCACCAGATGGATCGCAAGACGCCCGGTGTTTGTGTCCGGGCAGGATCGCGTGCGCGCACATGTACTTTACAGAGATCACGAGCCTCCTCTTCCCCCCACCCCGTAGAGCCTTCGATAGACTCGGAGCAAAGTGCTGTTAGCGAATAGCGCCTCCTGCGAGGTCTGGCGTGGCACACGGCGGGATGGTGCGGCTCGCGCCGCCACGCCCGGCCGCCTTTGTCTCCCTCGCGGCGATGGACACACCATCGGGGGAGTGCCGGTGACCGCTGTTTAGATACTCGTCAAACGCTGCTGGTGGCGGTGAAGCGGGGGATTGGGGTGCGCTAACCGCAATGCCACCGCTCCCCCCCCCACAACATCGAACACCACGCGGGCCAACGTAGCCAACCAGCCGGATCGTGAGATGCGCGCCCGTAATTTTGGTTTCCTTTTTCGATGAATGATTTCTTTTCAAATCGCGGCTTGCCGAGCACAAGGGAGGGGGGGGGGGGGGTGGAGCCACGGGTCCGACACGCCACGTGACCAGCGACGGTACCGTGCCGTTGACTTTTTAATTGATGAGAGTACGATTTTAATACGAGGGCTCGGGAGGAAAGGGAGACGGTTTGTGCGAATGTTGAACTTCTTTGCCATCGTACGTAGCCGGCCGTGCTAATCGGAGGTGCGGGGGTGGGGTGGGGGGACAACAGGGCGAGTGTCTACCTGGGCGAGTGTCTACCTGGGCTGCTGGCAACAACGCGCGGGGTCTCTCCGTGGCAGAGGTCGCAACCGGGTACCCGATACCCGTACCCTACCCGATACCCGGCTACCCGTACCCGGCCGGGTACGGGTAGCCGTTTGCGACTCTGGTGCGGCCGGGTACGGGTAGGCCGTGAGTCACTGGTGAGTAACCGTTTGTCACTCATTTCCCAACGTCTTGTCTCTTCTCACAATTCAAGTTCCTAGAATCAACCCACCCGCGCCTGCAACATGGCTTCATCCCAGAGGTCGCAATCAGGTACCCGTACCCTACCCGATACCCGGCCGGGTACGGGTAGCCGGGTACCCGTTTGCGACCCTGGTGCGGCCGGGTACGGGTAGACCGTGAGTCACTGGTGAGTAACCGTTTGTCACTCATTTCCCAACGTCTTGTCTCTCTCACAATTCAAGTTCCTAGAATCAACCCACCCGCGCCTGCAACGTGGCTTCATCCCAGAGGTCGCAATCAGGTATCCGTACCCTACCCGATACCCGGCCGGGTACGGGTAGCCGGGTATCAGGTAGGGTACGGGTATCGGGTACCTGATTGCGACCCTAGTGCGGCCGGGTACGGGTACGGAATCAAAACCGTTTGCGACCTCTGCTCCGTGGGCTGCGTTTCCTTGCCCGGGTTGAGGTTAGAGGACGGGGGAGAGACGGGCGGGCGGGGTTGGGATACGGGGAGTGTGTTGGGGGGGGGTGGCGGTGATGCTGGTTGGTTATGGGCAAGATTCTGGTGTTTGACCTGCAGCCAACCATCACCAGTGTGCGTCTGATGATGTTGTTTGTGTGTGTGTGTGGTGTGTGTGGCGTCGATGAGACAATACAACTGTGGCCTGCCACCTTTCCCAAACGGGAGTGACTCTTGTGTCCTTGCTGTTCAGTCATCTATATCTATCTACTATATATATACAAAAAGGGAAATTTGTAAATGTGTGTCCGTTCGAAATGTTTAGCGTACTTCCCAACATGCAACAAACTTGAAATTTGGCATGTGGGTAACTTCCAGACTTCAGATAAAGGAAAAAGTAAAAAAATATACTTTTGTATTTTTGGGGGGGGGGGGGTGCAATAATGGATATATTTTGCACGGCAAGTGAGTGGTGACGTCAGATCTGATGTCACCCGCATGCGGCAGCGTCACGCAGTGTGCCTGCTGACGTCACGCAGTGTGCATACTGACGTCACGCATCCCCCCCACCCTCCGCGTAGGCCGTGTACCCCGCACAAATGCGCGGCTGGGGGGGGGGGGGTAATCTATATGTACACACTCGGACTAAACTATTAATTTCCGTGCGAAGAACGGGTACACCTGCTTGTGTTATATATAACACATTCCTGCGGAGGGAGCTGGTAGGAACGTCGGGTTGCTCGGTCAATGGCCAGGGTCAACGGCGGCGTGGTGTATTCCGCAAATATGCCCGACTGTGAGGGCGGGCACAAGCCGGCGTGAGTAGGTTAAACGTTGAGTTTTATAAGGGCACCACGGGGTGACCAGCGCCTCCCCACCCAGCCCCACCCCTCCCACCCCCCACCCAGCCCCACCCTCCCCACCCAGCCCCACCCTCCCCTCCCCACCCAGCCCCTCCCCACCCTCCCTTCTCCACCCAGCCCCACCCCTCTCATTTTTGAATGTACGACGGACGGACAATATTCCCTATGTCGGCTGGTGTAAGCAGGAGGTTTCTACCAGTATATTGATTTTCTTTATATTCTTAACGAAAGACCCGTCCCCACCACACCCCACCTCGCCCACGCCGAGGAATCCATTCGGAAATCTCGCGCCGCGGTGCGAGCCCCGACGCGTTTATTCGAGAACGCAACCCGCTTAAGTGGATGTCACAGAGCTACTTCTGAGGTCCATTCTTTAGGTGACACTGATCCACACAACAGAGCCCACGGACGTGGACATCATAGCGCTACCACTGAGATCCATTCTTTAAGTGACACTGATCTACACAACAGAGCCCACAGAAGTGGATATGATAGCGCTACCACTGAGATACATTCTTTAAGTGACACTGATCCACACCACAGAGCCCACGGAAGTGGACATCATAGCACTACCACTGAGATCTATTCTTTAAGTGACACTGATCCACACCACAGAGCCCACGGAAGTGGACATCATAGCGCTACCACTGAGATCCATTCTTTAAGTGACACTGATCCACACAACAGAGCCCACGGAAGTGGATATCACAGCGAGCCATTGGTGACTTGGCTTAGACCATCGACTCACTCCGCTTGGGAGTCGGGGTTCGTCGCAGGCAACGGGTAAACGCCGGATTGGAACGCAGCATCTCGGCGGCTTCGTACCCGTGACTGACCTCCGTGTGCGGTTCTCTTGAGTATTGATTGAGCACAATCAATAACGGCCCGATAACTCGTGAGCTTAGCAGCGTTTTATACTGGTAGGAACCTCCTGGTTGCACCAGTCCACAGGGGATTATTGTGTCCGTCCGTCCGTCGTGTATCCAATAATGGGAGGGGTGGGGCTGGGTGGAGAGGGGAGGGTGGGGAGGGGCTGGGTGGAAAGGGTGGGGAGGGGTGGGGAGGGGCTGGGAGGGGAGGGTGGGGCTGGGTGGGGGGTGGGAGGGGAGGGGCTGGGTGGGGAGGGGCTGGGTGGAGAGGGTGGGGAGGGTCTGGGTGGAGAGGATGGGGAGGGGCAGGGTGGGGAGGGGCTGGGTGGAAAGGGTGGGGAGGGGCTGGGTGGGGAGGGGTGGGGCTGGGTGGGGGGTGGGGAGGGGCTGGTCACCCCGTGGTGCCCTTATAAAACTCAACGTTTCACCTACTCACGCCGGCTTGTGCCCGCCCTCACAGTCGGGCATATTTGCGGAATACGCCACGCTGCCGTTGACCCTGCAGGCCATTGACCGAGCAACCCACCGTTCCTACCAGCTCCCTCCGCAGGATGAATGTGTTTGTGCACGTGCGGGCAGAACCGTGCCCGACCGCCTTTATCTCCCCATTGCCGATGCTTTACTCGCTTACGGCTGAGTCGACCTTGAGGAGGCCCACAATTGGTTCAAAGACAAAAACATGCATATGAAGACTCAACAGACTGTTGGGGCAAGTGCTGTTCGCGAGCAGCAGCTATGAAGGCCGGCACTGTGGCACACGAGGGGGTGGGTGGCCAGCACCTCGCCCGGCCGCCTTTGTCTCCCCACTGGCGATGGTTACTGCGCACCGGGTACTCATGTGAGGCTGAGTCGACCTCGGGGGAGGCCCAGGACATATAAACACACACAGTATACACACAGTATACACACAGTATACACATAGTACACACACAGTACACACAGTACACACACACGGTACACACAGTACACACACACTACACACACAGTACACACAGTACACACGCAGTACACACACGGTACACACACACAGTATACACAGTACACACACAGTATACACAGTACACACACACAGTACACAGCACACACAGTACACACACACAGTACACACAGTATACACACAGTACACACACACAGTACACACAGTACACACAGTACACACACACAGTACACACAGTACACACACACAGTACACACAGTACACACAGTATACACACAGTACACACACAGTACACATAGCACACAGTACACAGTACACACACAGTATACACACAGTACACACACAGTATACACACAGTATACACACAGTACACACACAGTATACATAGCACACAGTACACACTACACAAACACAGTACACACACACAGTACACACACAGTACACACATACAGTACACACAGTACACAGTATACACACAGTACACACACACAGTACACACACAGTACACATAGCACACACACAGTACACACACACAGTGCACACAGTACACACACAGTACACACACAGTACACGCACAGTACACACACAGTATACACACAGTACACACACACAGTACACACACAGTACACACACAGTACACACAGTATACACACGGTACACACACAGTACACACACAGTACACACAGTTCACACACAGTACACACACAGTACACATAGCACACACACACAGTACACACACAGTACACACACACAGTACACACACAGTACACGCACAGTACACACACAGTATACACACAGTACACACACACAGTACACACAGTATACACACAGTACACACACAGTTCACACACAGTACACACAGTACACACACAGTACACATAGCACACACACAGTACACACAGTACACACACAGTACACATAGCACACACACACAGTACACACACACAGTACACACACACAGTACACACACAGTACACATAGCACACACACACAGTACACACACACAGTACACACACAGTACACACACACAGTACACACACAGTACACATAGCACACACTCACAGTACACATAGCACACACACAGTACACACACAGTACACACAGTACACACACAGTACACATAGCACACACACACAGTACACACACACACAGTACACACACACAGTACACACACAGTACACATAGCACACACACACAGTACACACACACAGTACACACACAGTACACACACACAGTACACACACAGTACACATAGCACACACTCACAGTACACATAGCACACACACAGTACACACACAGTACACACACACACGCGTGTACGTCATCTGTCGATTCACTGCTGGATGAAGGAGGCTGTTTGATCATACTTCACCCACGCTGGGCAGTGCGTAAGGGGCCGTCCATAAATGACGTCACGCACCTGGGTGGGGGGGGGGTCAGACATGTGTGACGAGGAGGGGGGCGGGGGTGAGAAATGTGACGTCACATCAAAATTGCGCAACTTTAAATAAATAAAGACAACACGTTCTCCCTAATTAAATAGACTTCTAAATAATATTTTCTCCTACAACATCAGAGTAGAGCGCCACATTAAATACGCACTACAATAACAATAGTTTAAAGCGATTTGAAGCATGTTTTATATTTTTTTTCGGGGGGGGGGGCAAAGCTTTGTGACGTCATATTTGAGGGGGGGGGGGTCTGACTTTTTGTGACGCCGTGTGACGAAGGGGGGGGGGGGGAGATCAAAAATCGTCCAAAATCGCGTGACGTCATTTATGGACGGCCCCTAAGGCTGTGGTTGCCCGGGAGCTATTTCAGACTTCGCCTGCCACTGATGTGAGCCGTGAGCGGACCCGACCCTATCGTTATTCTTTGGTTCTTTCGGTAAAGTCACGTCTCTTCGTACTCATTGACATGTAAATGTTTTCTCTAACCCCTCCCTCTCTCTGCCTCCGCCCCCCCTCTGTCTATTTAAGGCCACCCCACAGAGACGATCACCCCTCTCTGTACCTGTGTTACTCTCTCTCTGTGTATCTTGGCGATATCTGTCTGCTTATATGTCTGTCTATAGTTTTCTGGTTAGATTCTATGTCGCTATTTCACTATACCTGATGATGATTGCTTGTGTTGCAATCGAAACGGCGTATGCTATTATTTAATTTATTATTTTATCTTTATACGTGACTTTACCGAAAGAACCAAAGAGTAATTCCCGCAGTCACGAAAGCTCCAAAATTAAGATCGACCCTATCGTGTTAACCGTTGAACAGGCAATCCTCTCGCCTCGGTGACGACGAGGAGACGTTCAATGCCATCGCCTGCCACTCAGGAGGTCGTGGGTTCGATCCCGGACCCTGTGATGGTCCCCGTTGTTTGTGTTTGGAGTTGACATGTTCTCTGTGCGTTCTGCAAACTGCGAGCGAGGATGGGGGAGCGGTGGCGCAGCGGTTAGCGACCCCGGCGAGCCGAGATCGATTCCCGCTCACGGCCACAGACACCAGTGGACAGGTCCTGGGCTTCC